CGCCCCGGCCGCCGCCCCGGCGACGTACATCTCTGATGCGGAGCTGGCGCAGCGGATGCAAGCTCAGATTGACCTTAGTGGGGGGCCGAGCGACATCAGCGGGAGGGCGGAGAGCCCGAACGAGAGGGACGACCGCGGTAGCCTCAGCCCAACTAACACCAAAACATATGCACACCAATTTCGCCGTAGCTAGCAATCCCGTCTGTGAGTAGGTAGACTTACACTTGGATCGGCGAGACGTTGTGTTAGTTGGTCCGTGCGCTGTCATGTTTTCTCGATGGTACGCCTGGATACACAGCATAGAATCGACGTTCGCTTTGTAACGTAATTCACACGCGGCCATGCAAATTGGGCCCCGAAAAGCAATATATATACCATGCTGTGTGCCTTTTATATGTTGACGGGAACCCGTGCTGTCACTTCTTCGCGCCCAGGTTCCCTCTTCAAAAAAAAAAAAAAGAGCGAGGGAGGGGGGGGGGATCTTGATCTCTGTATTCCCGACGCCCCGCCACCGCCCTTTTGTCTTGTCGCATGTCCAATGCTCTCATAGACACTTCCCGGTTTGGTTCGAAATTCGAAATTGTTGTCTGTGTCGCCCCACTCCGAACTGTTCTTTACACTTGACTCACGGGTAGGTTGCAGCAGAGAACTGGCTGCGGACGCTTGACCTCCGCCACAAAAGTGTGGAGTGGATCATGCCCCCGGCCCCCCTGTTGCCGCCAGATGAGTCCGAGTGGGCGCAAGTGGGCGCCTTTCCCACGGCCTCTCGCGGGTTTCCTACTTTGGACGAGGTCACGCGGGACCCGATGGAAGGCGAATTACGTCGCTTGCCATGGCAGGCTCCCGTGTGGGATTCCAAGGGTTTCGTCCCAGGATTCGTGCGAGCCCATGCTGGGTTCTGGGAGGACTGCATTCTCCGTGATCATCCCTTACGAGATACTTTGACTTCGTACATCCGGGATGGCGTTGACCTTTATGACCTTCTGCTTCCCAAATTCAGAGGCGAGTCGACGTCTCTCCCCTACAATGTTGATCATTTCCCGCAACGCATTTTCTCCAACCACCGTTGGCCGCTGGAGTTTGACAACTTCGTCGACGCGGAAATGCAATCCTTGCTCGCCAGAGGTTGCATTTCTCGGTGGGCTGACGTCAAGAGCTCCACCGGTCCGGTGCGTCCTCGCATGATCATGGCTTTGTCGGTGGAGACGTCCAAACCGCGTCTTATCTATGACGCTCGACCGCTTAACAGCTGCACACGAAAAATACCTTTCGCCAAGGACACGGTAGCGCGCGTGGCGAGCATTGCGTCGTCGGGGTGCTACATGACGTCACTCGACGACTCCTCAGCGTTTCATCATGTTCTTCTGCGGCCATCGTCATGGCCTCTCTTCGGCTTATCCTACAAGGGCGTCGACTACTGCTGGTGCGTCCTCCCGTTCGGATTTAGCCTCAGCCCGTACGTCTACCATACTCTCAGCAAAGCGAAGGCGGCCTTTCAGCGTTCCAAATGCGCCTCTTCTCTCGCATACCTCGATGATTCTTGGCGGAGCAACTTTCTGGCCACATATGGTCGGCCGGCGCGGGATCAGTGGTTGGCGGCCGGGGAAGCGACTCACGTCGCCATGCTGACTTCGCTCTTCTGCGGACAGTTCCTGTCACTCAAGAAGTGCGAGCTTCGACCCGTCACAGCTCTACAATACCTTGGCATCATCTGCGATTCGGAGACGATGACCTTCCGGATCCCCCAAGAGAAGCTGGACAAGCTGCATGGCTTACTGCGAACAGCTCTGGCCAATGGGGGCGTGTCCTACCGAACGCTGCAACGCGTTGCGGGTAAGTGCATGAGCATGACGGTGGCGATTCGGCCGGCGTCGCTTTGGACGCATGCCATGTTTGCCGTCCTTTCTGCGATGGACGAAACCAACCAGCGTCAGATCGATTTGACACGTGATGCTTACGCGGATCTACGGCAAGAGTTCCAGAAGTGGCTATCGCTGACGGCTTCTTCGCACGAAGGGCCGTGGCAGCGAGCGAGCCACCTCATCGTCAAAATCGACGGATCATCAGACGCGTCTTCCCTTGGCTGGGGTGGTGCTATCAACATTAAGGGAGCTCAATACCGCGCAGGTGGCGTGTTCCCCGACGATTGGCTACACAAACATATTAACAAGAAAGAGATGTTTGCGTTGTACCACTTGTTGCGCCTCTTCTGTGCGCGTTTTCCGGCTTCCTTGCAGCGGGCGCACGTGCTCATCGACGTCGACAACACCGCGGTGTGTGGATCTTTCAACAGGGGGCGGGCGCGCGACCCGGAAACGCATGCACTTCTTGTTCGTTTGTTCGAGCTACAAGTCGAGTATGAGTTTATGCTGTCCCTCAAATGGGTCCCGTCGGCTGCCAATGTCGTCGCTGATGATATCTCTCGCCCTTCGCGTGAGGGCATCATCAGGCTCAACCCGGCGGCCTTTCAGGCTCTCTGGGAGGACATGGGGCCGTTTACTATCGACCTCATGGCCTCCGACGCTTCGGCTCAGCGTATCCCGGAGTCGGACGTTGTTCTGCCGTTTTTCTCGCGCTATGATTACGAGGGTTCATCGGGTGTAGATATTTTCGCCCAAGACGTGTCGTTGCGCCCAGGTACTCTGGATCGAGCATTCGGTTATTGTTTCCCGCCGCCGGTGATGGCGGGCCACGTAGTGCAACACCTTGCGGAGTGCCACGCGCATGCGGTTATTGTTGTACCGGGTTCAAGGTCTTACTGGTTCCCTCGAGTGCAGCAGGCCGCAGTGCGGTCTATGCTCATTTCCCCGCCTAATGCGGGGGGATATTTCAGTGGCCTTGCCCAGATGGGTCCCTGAAAGAGTGGAAGTACCCGAGGTGGTCCATGGTAGCTTACGAGGTTGTTTTTGCTTTTTGTTCTTAGGTGGCTGCCGCTCTCCAAAAAAAAAACTCTTTGATTGACACCGGGACCCTGTTAATGCAGCATGCGGCTCTCGTCCATCTTGCCCAGTTCCCTCCCTTTGGCTTGTGGATGGCTTGTGCTTCGTATCACAGGTCCCCACCCTTCCTCCGGGTGGCTGTGTCCAGTTTGTCGCGTGTTCGTCGTGCCAGACGGAAAACGTGGGACATTACAACTATTGTTGGTCCTGCGGTGTTCAGCCTGCCCGCGGGCGTCCGGTACCGCGTGACCCTCAAGCGGCTCGGGTGTCGATGGATTTCGACGTGCTGCGCGCTCGTGGTGATCAGGTCATCTCGGCCGCGTCTAACCGTCGTGCTCAACAGCGCAAGTGCGCCGTAGCGGACGGGTTCGACGCTTTCATACTTTCGGCGACTGAACAACGTCGGGGTTGGAAGCAGGCGTCGGACCGAGACGTGTTTGACTATCTCTGCTTCTTGGACACACAAGGTAGTGGTACCATGTGGGTGCACGACAGGGCATGCCCTGGTGTCGGCACGCCTCACGGCCGCGATTGCCTTCCAAACTCGCCATGTGCTAAGCGGTATGCCGCCACGTCCATGCAGAAAGGGATCGTGTCCAAGCTGAAGATGGCGATGCAAGAACAGTTGGGAAAAGACAGCAGCTGGGACCCTGCCACGCGCTCGGGCAACCCATGTTGTAGTCCTCTCGTCGACTCCTACCTCGTCTTCACGGGGGAGGAACAAAAACGTGTGGGTGTCGCTGTCAACCAGGCAGAGGCTATGTTACCGCACGTCCTCATCGATCTGTTGAGGAACATGCGCTCTCGCGCGCAGACTGCGTCCTCTTTGGCGGAACGTATTGAGCTCACCAGGGACGTCGCTTTGTTTTCGCTGGCGTTCGCCTCCATGCGGCGAGGTCATGATCTCTCCTTCACTATGGGATCGCAAGTTCTGCGGTTGCCCGCGGGGCAGGGTCTGATTTTCAACTTCCAGTTTGGTAAGACCCTCCGGGACTCTGTTGATGCCGTGGTCGTGCGTCCGGACGTCGCCTGCCCGTCTATTTGTGCGGTGAGCAATGTTACGGCCTACATCAGTGCGGCGGAGGGTATTGGCTGGGATTTGTCCCAAGGGCATCTGTTTCCCATCGTTCTGCTGGATGGAACTCGGGGCTGCGCTCCGCTTACGGCGGTTCAGATGACGGCTGCCCTACAAGGGCATTTGCGAGCGGCGGGACTGCCGCACCGCTACACTATGCACTCGTTACGCGTCGGAGGCTCTGTAGCGCAGTCGCTTGACGGAACGGCGATGGACGCTATCATGAAAATTGCCGGGTGGCGTACGGAGAGAGTAGCGAAGCGATATGTTGGCGCCACTAGTGTGGGGGCAACGGGTTCCAAGAGGATCCGTAGCGACCTGTACACAGACTCAAACGCGTTGCCGTTGTCGGCTGACTTCACATGCGATTTCTCTGCGTTTGCTCGCCGCGCAAAATAAAGAAAGTTTGGGTGGGCGAGACCTAGCTTAGAGGCGTGAGTGGTCAATAACTATGATGTGGCAGATCGGATAATCAACAAGAAAGTAATGGGCGGGACCACAGGCCGGCGCAGGAGGCCTCACCCAACCAAATCCAATACTTACATCGAATGATCTGGGTAAGGGATAAGAATACAACAGTAATCTCGGATTTGAGACGCATCTAGATTTCGGAACGAAATCGGGAAGAGTCAGATATTCCAGAAAGGATGTTGGAAAATGACCCCACCTAGTTTAGTCCCCCTTTTCTCTCCCGAAATACGCCGGAGCAGAGAAGAAGGGGTATATTTGAGACCATCCCACCAGCCCTACACAATGCTTACTATATTCATGAACTTACCGATCATTCAAACACTTTGGGCCTGGGCAAATCCAGCCCAAAGGGTTACTTGTGGCGAGGCCCTCCTGCAGGCGCAGGAGGCCTCACCCAACCAAATCCAATACTTACATCGAATGATCTGGGTAAGGGATAAGAATACAACAGGAAAGATAATAGATTAAGATCCGCGCGGACACACGTTTTCAAATGTACATATGCGCGGGGCGCGATGTGCACCACGACGATGCAAGAAGAGGATGCCGAAGGCGCGGAAAGCTTTTCGGGACGACCACGGGCTGACAAGGAGGCGTCCATTTCGTGAGCCGAAAAACTCCCAAGAATTGACCAAATAACGTCCTCTGATCGATCTTTTTAACCAGAGATATGGGTGTCGATTGGTGTCGTGTGTGTACGGCAACAACCAGCGGGGCTGGAGGCTGTGTGTAGTCTCGCCGATAGACCTCTACCGCGATCATGTCTTTGCAAGAGACACAGATGCAAACTGCGCCTTGCGAAGCCTAATGAACACGTTGTTAACGATCTAATACGGGGATGGCGAAGACTATGCCAATAGGAAATATGTCAGAGGCACAAACAACTCTCCTTGTTGTCGACCGGCGCACGTTGCTGCGCCCCCATGGCTGTGCAGAGTCATCGGCAGCTTCTGGCTTGCGGGCAAGCCGCGCTACACACCACCGGAGAAGGGGGGCTCCAGTGGGCCCCCATGTGAGCAATCACAGAGCATCCATCTCGCGATGGTTCGTCGGCACAACAACTGCTTCTGCTATATATGCCCAGTGCAATGAGAGAGCGTCGGCACAACAACTGCTGTATCTACCTACTGTAGAAGACCAAATAGATCCAGTTTGCGCCGCTCTTGCTATACGACGGCCGCGCACTACACTACATACACCAGGTTGTGTGTTGCTCTCATTTCAAGCGCGAGAAGCGGTAGCTAAAACTTCCTGCAGCACGCCACTGAAAAGGAATGGGGATGTACCGTATATGACACAAGATAACACACCCCCTGGGCCGATTTTCAAAGCTCGATTTCTCAACAGCAGGAAGAGTCACAGCGCCGAAAACGGCGGCGTTGGAACCGTCTCGTCGAGAGGTTTTCGAAAATGTATTGTTTCGTGTATGCATCCTCTTCGTCGTGGAGTAATCGATCTTAGAAAATCGGTCCAGGGGGTGTGTTATCTTGTGTCATATACGGGTATACCGTCAACGCAGAACACCCGGAGATGGCAGGTACAGCACTCTTTGCATGTACGCCTGGTGCGATTTTTTTTTTTTCGGAGCTACATATGGATTCATTTCTAATCTATCTTATATTATTATACTCTTTTTCTCAGATAGAGATTTAGTCTTGTAGTACATAGTAGAGATGGATTCGTTGTCATACTTAAAGATTGAATAAAAAAAAAGAAAAAAAAAAAGAAGAGGGAATTGATTTGGTGAAACGGCATTAATTGCAGCGCTCGACCCTACTTTCCCACCCAGCCATATCCATACCCCAAAACATCCCCACACACCGGCACACCGGTGTTGCCTAGGGGAGAGAGAACTCCAAACGGACCGCATGTAGATGCTGCTGCCGTGGCCTCTGCACGCGGTACATTGTCAGGAGATTTTTCACCACCCTGCCGCCGCAATTCGTGGGAGCATCCACTAGTCTATCCAGTACCCAAGGATTTCGGCCACGTTTGTGCGTGCACAAGGCAGTGAAGCCACCTTGAACTTACCAGCACCAGCAGCGGCAACATGCCGACGGCTAGTACTTTCGCACCGATAGGGGGACACCTCGGTGGCCCCAGTCGCCACCGGGAACCGACTCCCGGTGGTGTTTTGCCATCAGCGGCAACAACGGTAGCAGAGGCGGCAACGAGCGGCGGCACCCCGATGAAGGCAGCCGACGTCTTCCCCGATCTCCACCACAAGATGAGCAAGAAAATCGCTCAGCTGACGAAGGTTATATACCACCTCAACACCAAGAATGAAGATCGCCAGGTACGTGTACAATCTGCGGCGGCAGAGTACCTGCACGTGAGTGGTCGTACACCATCTCGTTGGGTCTTGCATATATTGCGGACACAGCAGTGCTCACGACAGCGTCTCTGCTGTTCGAAGCAACGCTCACACGCCAGCGGATCAACATGTCTTAGGGATGCTGCAGTGCGGGTGTGTGTGAACACTAGTCTACAGGTTTGGCCGTGTCCTCGTCGTCATTCATTGTCGTCCTGCCGTTCGCAACGTCACCCAAGAGAAAAATGATGGCAATGTATGCTGCCAAAATGATCCATGGAAGCAGCAGTTACCACGGCCTCTGGCTGTGCTGCGTTTGTCCTCTGGCCGCCTCCGCCCTCCCGTTGCTACACCTTCAGCCAAGTGGAAGAGTAAAAATGAAAATGCGCGTGTTGGGGTTTTGACTCCCATCTCCAGTTCAACAACTTCATGGGGACCACACAGATGGCCTATTCCATTGACATCAGCGTTCCGCGCTTTCGAGGTACAATCATCCGCAGAAAACTACATGACGCGTATGAATGTAGTCCAAGGCTATATATGAAAATCGTCTCTGCGCAGTAACCACCGCAATTCACGGTGGATTGTCGTTGGTTCTTGCGACAATATCAGTTCGAGCTGGAGGAAGTCAACACCAACCACCAGCAAGAAATGCAGGACATTCTCTCGGACGCGGCCAACAAGATAAAACGATTTAAGGAGCAGCTCGCCTCTAAGCAGGGGCAACTCGATATGGAAGCGCAGGTGTGGAAAGGCCCTCTTTGGCAAGGGACGACGTATCTCTCTCGACGCTTTCTCATAAGTGCTTGAAGCGGCGTGCAGAACCCGCGTGGCTTGCCTCCCCCTATTGTCTTGTCGCTGATGTCTTTATAATCGTCATGACTCAGGAAACCTGACCAGACATCTAGATGCGCCGGATAGTCTGCGCCGCTCGCTCTACCGCTTGTTCCTGCGACCTTCGGGGCGTCACATCGGTCTGGCTGTGAAACATTCGGCAGCACGACAATTTTTCTGGACAGTAGTGTCAGTACTACAGTTACAGAGACTCTTCAACCACATTCAATGTCAAAGTACTTGCCAAATCAGGTAGAAAAGCTACGCCAGGCTCATGCGAAGGAGAAAAAGGAGGCGCTGGCGGAGTTCCGAACCTTCAAGCGCAACGCAAAGGCTAGGGAGGAGAGCATACAGGTATGCATGCCCAAATTGAGTCATGACACACGGCTGACAAGGCAGGGGCTGGATCCGAAAGTTAGGCTTGCATACGGTGGTCTGGATCATACGGTTCATGAAATGCAGTTGTGCGCATCTGACGCACACCTTCGGCCTCTTCTTACATTGCTCATAACTGGTATCTCCCACGCCCCTTTCCCGTCGCAACAAAACTCTAACGTGCTTCTGCGGCGCCAACCACCAGGAAAAATCAAGGCTCTACACGTGTCCAACCACAGTTTCCCGTGTGCACGTTTTGTCGCATCAATAACCGAACGCCCTCCCCGCAGGCCTTTTCCTACCTTCCCTACTCCCACTTGATTGCGATTGGTGACTTCGATAATGCACGGGGATTCTTTGAAGCACTCGCACTCATGACTACTACGCCAATGTACCGTACCACGACAAAGGGCACCACCAACTGTCCATTTCCAGTACTGAGCGTACGCAAGCGATGTAAGCAAGCCTGGCTCCGAGCAGGAATGGTGCTCCGAGAAAACTCGTCACGCGCGGTTGCTCGGTCGCCCAATACTCCCGCAAGCCACGAAACCGTAACCGAGCCGTCCGCCTCGAATGGAACTCCGCCTGTAGACCGAAAACGACGTTACCTGTCTTTTGCACTAAGGCCTAGCACCGGGATGACATACCCCCCTCCCCTCATCTTGCCCCTCCCCTCATCTTGCCCTTTCCCTCAGCTTGACTGCAAGGAACGAACGGAGGAACTTACGACACTCGTCGAGAAGGAGAAGAAGGGCTTCGAGGAGTCCCTCCGCAGGTTCCAGGAGAAGGGAACGGCGCTGAGAGCCGCCCTGGAGACGGCTCAGAAGTCGGCGGCCGGGAACGTGTCAACTTTGAAGGCAAAACACAAGGTAGGTGTAGCACGCAGAGGGCGGAGGGTTCCCGTCAGGGAGCCTGCAATAGTAGGTCGCGGTGTGGGCCACGTATGGTTCCCGAAGATCTCCAAACTGCTGGATGCCCACAAAGGGGTGGCACAGAGGTGCTGCTCTCACCGAAAACCTTTATCTTCGCTCGGGATTTTTATTGTCACGAGATGCTTCTTGCGCTGCGGTTTTCGGTCTTGTCTGCTACAGTGGAAGAATTGGTCTGGGGAATTTTGCTCCCCTGGAGTGTGTCGTATTTGTTTTTTCTTCTGGCCCAAACCGCAGGCACAGTGCAGGCCTGAGGGACGTCTACTTTGGGGCTGTAGTGGGATCTGTTGTATCTCAAACGGCTGCGTTTTGTCTGCCTCGGTCGGTGCGTCCGAAACCCACATAGATGGCTCTTACAGGGAAATATTGAAATCGACACGCGACCACCAACTGCGAAACTAATGAAAACCACCGTGCCAACGCACACCGAAGCGATAGAAACAAACTCCGTTCTTGTCGAGAATTACTTTTTGTTGGGGTATCCCCGTAACAAGTACCCCCAAAACGGCGCTAGCACCCAGTTTCCTCCTGGACCTTGAGCATTGCGTAACGGTTCGGTCTTTGTCTTTGTGCTGGATGACACAAATACCAGTGCAGGGTGGCACAAGCGCGGCGGCGTGGTTTTGACCTGCACGTGCTTTCCCTGGTGTCATGTGCTCTGCGAAAGCTGATTAAAATTGATTGGCAGCATCCATCGAAGCCTGTAAATTTCAACGTACAAGTCAGTCTGGCGCACTGTAGTTCCGTGCTGCTCTTGTTGTCGCTCTCTATGCATTGGCAAGGGGTCAGCTTCAAAGGGGATGAATTTCCCCGACTCATAGCGTGCTGCTGTTGCCTGTGCTGCCGCTGTCGTTGTTAATATTCTGACAGAAGGAGCCGGCTTGACCGAGACCAATCAAGTTGACTTCCCCGATACATACTGTGTTCCCCGTCGGTTGTTGATTTTGAAATGTTCGGTTTAAAGGTGGAGCTGGAAGAGGCCGTCAGAAAGGGCAACGAGAAGTTCAACACGATGATCACGGACCAGCTCATGGCGCAGGAAGAAATCCGGAGGGCCGCTGAGATGGAAGCCAAGGTGAAATCACACACACCGTACGCTAGAAAAGGCGATGGAGAAGAGCAGGGCGTCTCTTGGCGCGGGCGTGGTACCCGGTACGGTGCTCGTATTAGCCCCTATCACTAGAATACGTAGAAAAAATACGCTAGGCATTTCAATGAGGTCTGGAAACCTCGAAGAAAGGCGAATAACTGAACGAGCACGTTTGACTGTTGTTCATTCTTAGTAGTGTGAGGCCCCCACAAGCAAGCACTCACAATACCTTGAAATTTTGATGCTGTGCGGTCCAGGGAGCGAAGCAGGAGTTTGGGCAGCAAGTGGGGCGGTTGCGCGCCGAGCTAGCAGGGGACAAGGAGGCAGCGCTGTCCGCGCTGAGGAGAGAGGGCGATGAGGAGCTCAAGGTTGTCGCCACAACCCACTGTTTGATTGTACACACCCCATGCAATACGCCTACTTTGCATATATTGACCGTGTTGAACTAGGTTGCGGTTAGAACTGCACAGAAGACGAAAATCATCTGAACTGATAGCGCGTTTTCTGTTCCATGCAAGAACAGCTGCTTGCTTACCGACAGTCTTCGCGATGTGAAAACAAATTTTCGCACACTAGGCGACAAGAAAATCTCTCACGGAAAAAATGGAGAGGGCGCTCGCCGATGCTACCCAGTCTCGCGCGGTCTGTGCAGAAGAGAAGAAGCGAAACGCCTCCCTGAAGGCCGACCGAGAGAGGTACAGTAGTAGGGGCCCCAGCAACAGTATCGGGTACATTTCTTTTCGTGTAATCTTGAAAAAACAAATTAGCTCCTCGAGTGTTACTCTTAAGTCATTTATTTCTGTTCTCATGGTGGCTCATCTCGCGGGTTTTGTAGTGACCACGGAAATGGCTTGTTACTTTCACCGGTTTTTCGTGTGAACAAAACAACAACAGCAATATTCATGGCAAGGAAAATAAATTGTGCACTAGTGCATGCTGGGATCCCGCACTATTGATTGTAATACCGTTCGTCGCATGGTCGTCAACACCCGTTCTCGAGCCCCCCCCATGTCACTCAGGACCGTAAGACACGGGACTCCGAATACCGTATATGACACAAGATAACACACCCCCTGGACCGATTTTCAGAGCTCGATTACTTCACGACGAAGATGATGCATGGACGAAAGGATACATTTTCAGAGAGCTGTCGACCAGACGGCTTCAACGCCGCCGTTTTCGGCCCTGTGACTGTTGCTGCTGTTGGAAAATCGAGCTTTGAAAATCGGTCCAGGGGGTGTGTTATCTTGTGTCATATACGGTATATGTAGAAACCGCGCATACCGTGCTGCCGATAGACCACAACCCTGATGACTCGCTTACGGGTGTTGTTGCAAGGGTTCACGTGTGGGATTGGATTCGTGTAAGAACGTACCTTGTGTGTCTCCAACACACACACTTACGAGACGGATTTAGCGTGAGAGCTACAGAGAAGCAAGCCCCGCGGATTCGTTGCCCTGGATGACACGATTGATCGACACCTGCCCGCTCGTAATGCTCTGTCTTGTATTCCACCCCATACCTGTTTAGATCGCTCACAGTATCAGCCCTGGCATACGTTTTTACGCCCCTTGTGCCCGTTGCGGAGGAGCTACGATCGGGGGTCACGCGAAATACCTCCTAGTCGGGACACATACTCCGTTTGACTGCGAGAAGAGGTTGAACATGCCCCCCTCATCAACAACTTATCTATGTTGACCAACCAATCCTGGACGGTGCTGAGCACCGAACCATCCCATCAACCTGGCTTCAAAAATGACGCAACCCGTTTTTCCCGAAATACGTTGAAGGTCGATATGTCGTGGCGCCCAATTGCCTACAGTTGAATATGGCAACTATTCCTGGAACCTTGCCTGGAGACTGCAATCTGACCTGCTTCTTGTCCACTCTGGGTGGGAGAAGGGCCTGAGATATACTGTACACCCTGGCTTAGCACGGATGCAAAGAACGCCCCAACAGGGCTGTTTGTTCACCCGGCGTCAACTCCCCGTTTGTTTCCTCCACATCCGTCCGCAGACTCAACGGAGAAATCACCAAGCTCCGAGACAACGCCACGGCAATGGTGGAAACCTCCCGCCTCGAGGAGGCGTCCTTGAGGCGACTGCTCGAGACCGCGGCGGCGGAGGGGCGGCGGCTGACCAAGGCTCTGGAGCAAATGGAAGCAGCCCGAGATGAGGCGTTAGCCGTTGGGAGGGGGGCTGGGGGAGAGGCGGAGGGTCTCCGGGATAGGTTGACAAGGGAGAGGAAAGAGAAGGAGGCGTTCGAGAGAAGTGCGACGGCGGAGATCGCGTCGAAGGTGTGCCTTGTAGTGGTGTTTGGTGTTGTCGCTGCCAAGGACCACTCGGTGTCTTGCTGGTGTGGTGGTGCAATGGTGTTAAGCTCTCGCCGAGCGTTCTAGTCAGTAGACGTAAAAGCGATGTCTCAGTGTCGTCCTAATTCTTGCCGAAAAAGCGCAAGATAGGTGAACACCGTCAATACAAATACTCCCAAACATCGACGTTAATATGCTTTTCAACTATCCCAGGCATCGCCATCACCTACCCCGTGCTCATGTCCCTTCGAACGGCTGGATTGGGTGTATGAAACACGCAGGAAACTTCGTCAAATGACCGACATAACTACGATTGATCCCCACAGCAAATGTTCGACATCATATGTTTATCGCTTCACATGCGGGGCGAAGCGCTTGCTTGGTTGCCTTGACACAGCTAAAGACGGTGATACAATGTTTCTCTTGTTGTTTGTGCCTCTGCCTTTCTCAGGACGGCGAGATTGCCGCTCGACTAGGAGAGATCGCCGCCCTCCGTCAGAAGCTAGATGGAGCTCTTGGCTACGGCAAGGTAGGCCCAGGAACACTGCAATAGGAACGTTTCCCCCAGAAGCAACCCGTGGTCTGCTGTTGGTTTGTCCTACCTGACAGGCGTTAGGGCAAGCACCCTGCCATGGTACCGAGTTTAGGTTCATGTCTTCTTCGATGAGAACTGCCGTCAAAACTGTAGCACCATGGTATACTATTTATTTTTGCGGCTTTTAATACCATTTCCACCTGTTTTCCTGCCCCTTCGAAGCAACTCGTTGGAACGATGGCCACCCTGCCCTTGAAGGTTTTTGCCACCAACGCCGTCCAGTCTGAACCGCTGGCACGTGTCTTTTACGTCAAACAAATTATGCCATTGACGCTGGGTACACGTTTGAGGCTATTTTTCTCGATGACAAAAAGGTTGTTCAGTTCCGCACACGATGTATCGCCGTCTCCAATACGACACAGTCCACCTCTCCTGCTACGGTAGGAACGATGCCGAGTTTCTTTCGATTCCTCTGTTCACGGAGGCTTAGGTAAACTACAAGGGTGCTCGAAAAAGCAAGCCATCATAGCGGGAAGCCCGGATTCAGTACAGCAGACCTTGCAATTTGGCTCTCGTTTCACAAATCCCAACGGCCTATTCATTCGAATTTAGGGCAGCTTCTCCCTTCTTGCTCTATATAATAACATAACCCATAGAGTTGAGCAACCTCACTCCCCACACGGAAAAAAACACACCACAACGTCCAGGAGGCAACACAGAAGCTCGAGCGAGAACTGACGAAGGCCCAAGAGGATGTGCGGAGGGCGTCCCTCAGGGTGGCCGAGACGGAGAAAAGTCTTCGGGCTTCAATGGACGACGCAGAGCGCACAAGAGGGGAGGGCAAGAGGAGCGTAGACGAGCTTCAGAGACAGGTAAATCCGGGATTGCATGAAAGGATCAAGCGTGATGGTGCCAAGTGGCTTCTTGTTCACCTCCTTGTGACGTATTCGCTAGGCAGCGGCCCGGCCGTCACACTACAGGGGGAAGTGCTATGTAGCGATTTTGCCTTCATGCGTCTCCCCACTTCCGACTCCTCAGCGGGTTGCGTCTCATACTCCTACGTATTTTCACCTGCTTCTTCCTGGAAGGTCAACGAGCATGACCTGCAAGCTGCGTCGAATTACGTATGCCGTGGTAAGCCCCTTCCCACATATGTGCTGTGGTGTTGACATGAACCTCTCCTGGCTTGTTTCACTACCGAACCACCGTATACATGTTGATAATTACGGTGTCACTCACACGAGTGGTTCTCTGGATCGCGCCACAGTCGCCCCCCTTTCATTCAACCTGCCACGTCCAGTGGAAGAAGGTGATCAAATATTCCCGATGCAGAAAAGCTTATCTGGTCGGAGAGACGGCCTCCTACGTCTTCTTCTCCGTGCCGGCTATGTCGAGGTTACGGGTGGTGTTGCGGTCGTTGTCTTGGCTATCTTCGGGATACCAAGCTGGTCCGCTCGTCCGGTTCCCGTAAATTTCACTGCATTCCTTCCAGGGAGAAGGCAAAGCTCGCGCAAAATAGCACCAGGCAAACGAGAACATACCAGCTCATTCCCTACATTGATACATACTTACGGGACGAACAATACATGCGATACATTCAAACAATATACATTTGAAGATGCCCCCTGGCGCCTCTGTTGTGCCGAGAGCATGCCTCTCCCCATCACAGTTCTTGCTCGAAACTGGTTCATGGCAAAAAGGTGAATCAAATCTCTTAGGCAAGCAATCCCTGAGGAAGAACCCTCGCCTCCCTCGCCCGCTGCAATGAAACGCCTCAGCTTGAGTTTACAAAGCAACACGCAGCGGCTGCAGAGGCCAGTCTACGCTCGGCCATGGAAAAGGAGTTGGACGATGCCCGACAGAAGTTGTTAGAAGCAAAGCGACAGGCTGAAAAGGATCTCGAGGAGGCTCAGCAGACGTCTGCGGGTGGGGCGAGGGAGCTGATGGAGAAGTCGAAGCGAAAAGAAGAGGTAAGTGGTAGACACGAGTGAGCACGGTCCTTCCGACCCCCCTATCGTGATGGCTCCTGCCTCTACCTCTAAGGAGAGGCGGGGTCAAGACTGAGACGAGAACCATTAAAGGATACGCCCCGTCTACAGCGGGGCAATTAACCCCTCCTCCCTCCCAACATCTGTTCGTCTTCGGCAGGAGCTGATGCGGCAGCTAGGGGAAGAGGCTCGCCGCTTCGAGACCGCGTTGAAAGAGGACCGGGCTTCTCGCGTTGCCGAGGTGAAAACACAGCGCTCATTCTGTTGTTGTCGTTGTTGTGCCCAACTACAGTTCTCATCTCGGCTCAGGGGCCTTTCAACAGCTATCTGGCCTCGACGATTCTCCGTGATCGAAGGCTAAACCACCACCCCACCTTGCGAAATAACTAAGGCATACAGCGGGTTCGGCGGTTGATCAATAGTGTAAGGTATCATCTTCTCTCTACACTGAGTCAGCAACACTTTTGGAGTCAAGGTAATTGCTGATGCTGTCACCTCGGTGGCAAGGGCGTTCATGAATGTTAAATTGACCTCTGTGGACCGACGAGAAAAACGGAAACCTGACCACCATTTGTGCGAGTTCTACATGACACGTCGCTCGAATACACCCGGTGTTGCGATCATTCTGGCGTTCATGTGCGCCCTTCTAGCCTTTTCTCCCTTCAGCCAAACTCTGATGGAGGAACGTTTGCACTACAGTAGGCTTTTACACCTGAAAAACATGCAAATGAGGTCCATGGTGTGTTACTGCGACGACTGTACCTTTACTCGAAGCCTTGATTTCGCTCATTGTACCACACGCTCTGTTTAATTGCGGATACCTTATTTTCACATCCATCCCTGAATTATCCCTCTCGCTCCGTCTTGGGGTAGTGGATACGTTGTCCAAGAAACAGAGGATATGAGTCTTATTATGAGGCTCGCAACCCCAACACCTTCCACTCCGTCTCCGACGGTTTCGCGTTCGTCTTTCGTGCCGCCCGCAACAAATCGGTGCCGATATCGACGATGACGTAATTCTTCCGATCATGACGACGCCAGACGTTCCTCATCATTGCACTTCACACAACCCCGTGTTCCGCCCCACCACTCAAGTCTAAATTACAGGCTGAAATGTCACTAAATATGTCTTGTTGAGATGCATGACGACGAGCAGCGGTGCCCCTCGCACACGAAACCGAATGTCTCTTCATAATCAGGCGGGTGAGAACTCGGCCAAGTTGGAAGCTCTCCGGCAAGAAGCGGCTGCGGAGAAAAAACGCCTCCAGCAAGCGGCCGAACAGGGGGGCCAGGAAGCCGATCGGGAAATATCGCGACTTCGAGCGCAAGTGGAAGACTTCCAGCGAGAGCTGGACGAACGGAAGAGGGCGCATGATAAAGAAAAGGTAGGATGGTCGTGTGGTCAGGGTAGTAAGAGGGTCCTTGGATGCTGCTTGGGTGTGTGGGTAGCTGGGGTGATTAGACGGAGGGGCAAGCACTCGACACCATGCAGGCGCTGCGCGTGGTGTTGTAGGCGTTTTTTCTCTTTTGAAATTAACGACTGCCAAAACATGTGTTTCCATCTTGCCCCACGTCGGGGACAACCCTCGTCCCTGCCCCCCGTGCGTCGCACATCAGGGATACGGCGGCCGTAGGTGATGCCCCAAAACCATGCATACCGACGAGCACCCCCACCTCCCTCTGTCCTTCCCAAAACACCGTTGCCCATCTGCCGAATCAAGCAAACACCCCACATGTTCCCCTAACCACTGGCAGTGATGGTGTGAGGCCAATCGTTCAATGCCTCAGGCCAGAAGATAGAATTCTCCCTCTCTATCTCCCGAAACCGAACCTTTTGGGCGTCTTCCACTACACCGTCAGGGGGACGCGGAGCGGAACGGTGACGAGGCGGGTCGCCTGGCGAGAGAGGTTGACTCGCTTCGGGGGGAGTTGAAGGAGGCCAGGAAGGCGGCCGCGGATAGGGTAGGGGAGGAGAGGGCGGCAGCTCAAGCCGCGGCCCGGGCGCTCGAGGACAGGTGACATGCGACTAATGACATGCGACTATTGTAGCCAGATAAGTGAGTGTTCCTCGTCGGCAGTAATTTCACTTAGCCACATCAACATAAATCCTACCATGCCTAATATTTCGATATTCTCCGTATTTGTGGGTTGAATCGTCAAGGTCCATGCTGTATTATTGTCGTTCGTTGGCCAACATCGCAGCCTCGCGACTGGTAGAGCAGGCTACAGACCACACGTATGATGACTATTGTTGTTGGTATGCGCGATGTTGTCGTACTTGTTTGCGATTTACATTGGTAAAGTGGGGCGCGTGGATAGCTTGTTTTTTGTTTTTGCGCCATAAAATTGAAAGATACTTCCTTTTTTTTTAGAGGCTACTGCGTCGAAGGCGTTGCGGTCCTTCGATGCACCCAGTGTCGTTGCGGCAGCCGTGCTCTCAGTAGAAGAGGGAAAAATAAATCACATCGCACCCTATATCTCAGGGGCGCTCATGTCAAGTCTACACCCCCAAAAAAGTTATCTTTAACCCTGAAGTTCTCGATATTATCCACGCACTGGCTGAAGTTTTTCGCTTTTTGGCCTTGTGGATACTAGCACCATATTTGAGCTTAGCCATGGATGCTCGAATTCGCTTCTCTGCTGGTCGAAGTGGTACGAAAGAAGAGGTATTTTGGACAGCTGCGGTACGGGTTTGAATTTGAGAAGACAACGATGCTACCGAGTACCACATCAAGCCAGTCGCGACAACATCACCACTACCGACAAGAAAATATTGTACCAGCACAACAATATCAACAACCACTGCGGCAGCAACAACAAACAACAGCAACAACAACAACAACAACTACCGACCTGTAGGGCAATCCGAGAGACTCAAGAAAGGCTACGACGTGCCGCCGCTGAGGCCGACGACGCTCTAGCCGCCGAGGTCGGACGAGTGTCGGAACAGCTCAAGTCTGAGCACGATGCTGCCCTAACGGAGGCCGTGAAGGCCGAGAGGGACGCCGCGGAAGCTCGCCACGCCGAGGTGCTGCGGCAGGCGAAGGTGTCCAGGGAGCAAGGCGAAGCGCAACAGGTATAGGTGGCACGGGTGATTGTTCAGCGCAACTTTGCATCGCCAGATAATAGACCCGTGGCTACGCCTGACATTTCCCTCGTCACCGGAACAGAGACGGCAAAACATGATACATTCTAGGACAAAGGAACGTCGCAGATGACGCTCCTCGTGAAGAACATTAATCAACCCGATACGTTTTAGGAATGTTAGCGTGTGACCACGGGAATTGCTCGGTTAAGTGTTGGATCAGTAAGGACAGATGAAGGCACCGGGTAGAGAGATCGGAATGGTTAATTAAATGTGAAGACAACAACAACACACTACGCACCGAATACTTTAATGGTGCGCTTGCGTTGGCACGGCGATAGTTTCACGACACTGTTGTAGCATTGTACGCACTACCATCGCCCGCCTGCCACGTGTATCTTGAAACAAGGTCCCTTAGCAACAACGTGTCGTTGCAGCTACTGCTGTCGTTGTTGCTTTTTGCCAACCAATCCCGTCGCAATTTTATATGCTCTACCGAGGTCGCCAGGATCACAACACCCGAAGCCGTACACAGTATCCCGTCTTATGTCCTTACAACACAAGCGTGTGCACGTGCATGCTTGGCGTGAACGCGATACGCTGCATGCAGGAGGACGAGCGACGAGCGCTGTTGGCCGCTCACAAGACGCGACTAGCAGAAGCCGAGGCGAACGGCAGAGCAATGGCCTCGGCGATACGAGTGAGTACGAGTACGCGACAAGGCCAAAACTAGAAAAACAGGACAGACAGACAGACAGACAGACAGACAGACAGACAGACAGACGAGCTAGACGCAGATACCAGTAATTAAGCTAGACCTTGGAGGAGGGTGACTCACGCCATGGAAATTCGATTATTTCTCTTTCAAGAGTAGAGAGAAGATGTAACGATCGAGGTTACCTTAAAGGCATCATCAAAGACAGTATCAACGAAAAAGGTTACACTCTGGATGTAACCCCTCCACCCGGAAACGCCCAGGAAAAGGCCGAGGAAAAGGCCGAGGAGGAAAAAAAGGCTTTCGAAGAACGCCTCCAGAGTGAACACCAGGCCCAGGCGTCACGCAGCGCTACCCAGCTGTCGGAGGCTCTATCGGCGTCAATGCGAGAGAAGGAGGCCGCCGTTACCGCGGCGGTCGCCGCCAAAGCCTTGCAGCTGCAGGCCGCCAAGGCCGTCGCGGACAAGGCCAACGCGGCATTGGCAGCGCGTCTTGAGGTGTGGAAGAGAGCAGAGATGGATGAAAAGATAACAGGTGTGCCCGTTTCACTCTGCTTTTCGTTCCATAGACTAATGGTTTCGGCCGCCAACGGTGCCAGGACGGGGGTAACACAGCAGCTTTGACGGCCAGATTTGAGGCTGCCAAAGAGAAGAAGAATGGAAAAAATTGTTTTGTTGTCCCTACAACCGTTTGTGTTTTCCGCCATAAGCATCACGAACTATCCAAGGTGGAGCGGGTGAACCCCGCGGCTGCCGGAAATACACTTTATTGCCGCGAGGACAAAACATACCAGCGGTTTTCATTTGTGGGGCCTTGCTCGGTTGAATGCTGCTGCTGGATAATAACTACGTGGTCATCGAAAAGTGGGCGTTCCATAGTCGTGGGCGGCATGGACACTGTTGCCGTGCAGGAGGGGGGTACGTGTTTGAAGCTGACGTTACTCATCCATGGTTTCTAATGGCTCGTACTTTTCTCTGTCCAGGGAGAACGCGACGCCGAGCACGCCGCGGTGGAGAGGTTAAAAGGGGAACTACGCCAGGAGACTGAGGAGGTCCGTCCTTTCTGTCACCGATATCCTAACGACGTGATGATCAGACTTATTTTCCGAACCACCTTGCTCGCTATTATAGTATGGCCTAGAATACCCTCCCGCCGAAGGTTTGCCGTTGTTTCGACACATAGGGGTGTCTCCACCCAATCTAAATTATCTGATAAAATATAGAATCGACTTGGGCTGCCTCTACAACTATTTCGCCGGCATCATTGGCGCCCAATATGTCTACGGACAACCTGTTCAAATACCTCAACATTCGTCGTGCTACCGGCGCTGTGACGACAATAGTCATATGGCCGACAATGCCAAGTATTTTCGGCCTATCGTTTGCACTGACGCCTGCACGCGCAACTTGGCACCGTTTCGCGCGTGTCACGCCGTTCTGAATATTTCCTTTCCCACCTCTGCCTATCTTGACTCCTTGTTTTGAAGCTTGAGCGTGCAAGGGAGAATTGCGCAGCCGCTAAGGAAGAAACGGAAGCCATCCGAGTAGCTAAGGAAGCCGAGATCAGGTGAGCTCGGCCGTGCTCAACGGGTGAACTGTCCACTCCAAAACCAAAGCATTTCCAGCTCAAGGAAATCTGAATCCGGGTGACCGGTTAAAGTCTTGCGTGTCTTGAGGTATCTATGCAAGATTAATTGCCATATGATGACATATACCCATCCAATCCCGTCCGGTGTGGGCCACCGGTTTACACGATACGCTAGAGTTCCAAGTGCTACCATTGAATTTCATGCATGTGTCATCCTACATTGGGTAAACGTGTTTGCGCCCCAAGGCACCAATCCTGGATTCCGGAGGTAATCAAGGCTACCCTCGCTCTCTTGGCTGGGAGAGGAGCGCATGCTTCCCCTAGAGCATGTAGGCGGTTGTCTCTCGTCTTGATAAGACGAGCTTATCACCGATGAATAGAACGTTCCCGATCAATGGCAGCACGCGGCGAGCCGTTCAAAGGACCCTATCGATTGCTTCACTGCGCCATCGTACGCACCCCCCCATTCTTCTCGCTGCCGCTGTGTACACATAACCGATGACAACGGTCTGCAGGAACCAACGCTTAGCAACCGCAGCGAGAGAGGCAACACTTGTGTCGAAGCACGCCACGGAGTTAAGCCATGCTGTGGGCCGGCAACGGGACGAGCTCAGGTGAACGTTGTTGAAGAGCATGGAATGTTTTTGGTTTACATCTGCGGCATCCTCTATTGCAACGATAACACGTCGATTGTTTTCTCAAGCTGTAAAAGGGGAGGTGTATTCCCTGTGAGGATTGAGTGAACATATCAATTTAGGGCAATCACATGCGTACAGTATGTGTCCCAAACATCAAGGATTTGTTGGAGAGCGGTAGGTACACGGGATGAGAGGGGTACGCGGTTGAGGGAGTAAAGGAACGAACAGATACAACAGCTTCAACAGGGAACGCACAATGTCTCGAGCGGGCGACTCGACGACGATTACCCTGGCTCTTCTTGCCTGCCTCAACCTTCACGTTTACATTCAGTGGCGGCACGTTCGGCGTTGGCGTCCTGATCCCCCCACGAAACGCTTAACCTCACTTGATTTGGGATATGTTCCATCGTTTTTCCGAATTGCCGGATGCAGGGAAGCCCAAAGTCGGTTTGGAGAGAAGGAGCGGGACTTGAGCAATCGGATAGATGCCCTTCAACAGGAGCAGAGACGGCTAGAAAATCGGTGGGTACCTCCGCGCGCCCCTATCCGACGGTGCCCCAGGCAATAGTAGTAGCAGTAACAGTAGCAGACCGACGGATTCTGCCACGGACCAAGGCAAAATTAGGGAACATATGCATAGCATTGATGAAAGATGTTTCCCAGGGGGTTGTTCATGCTTGGAGTGTGTTCACAGTCGACTCTATCTGAACCTTTCTCCACGAGCATTCACAGGTGGGGTGCACCCATGTACTGTATATGGCTGAATGATGGGGAGATCGGGTTTCCCTGTAAGATTCACTCCGTCTGCTTTCTGCCCACGGGAAAAGCCCTAAAGCTTGTGTTTTGCGTGCTGCTCTCCCTCCTGTGTACTGCGCTCAGCCCCCTCCCTATTGTGTGGGCAGGAATTTGAATGCTCACAACAAGTTGTGCTGAGCGCGTACGGGGGACTTGAGAGCAGTGCGCCTGCCTGTCTTACTACGTGATTCCTGTGCTCCCCCAAGCGATTTCTTTTCAATCACCCATGAAGTTGTCGAAAAGACATTTCATTTGAAGCAAGATACAGGAATGTGCGCGCACCGCATCCCGTGATGAAGTTGCAGTTACAGATGTTGGCTCATTTTGACTCCTACGCAACGCGTAGGGTTGAACCAAATCGTGCTACACTCACTCAAAGGCAGGCACTTCATAGGGCCGCAGATCCCAGCGAAGCCTTTTGCAGCGATCTTTTTCATTGTAAGTTTCACTGCGAAAGGACTCTCGATCATAAAACCAAACAGGTATGAGAACCGGCCAAGCCGTGAGGAGGACGTGAAGCGCATCCGTCAGCTGGAGGTGGACGCCATCGAGAGCCGCAACGTTGCGGCCAGGGCTCGCGAGGAGATGGCGTTCTTCAAGCGAGAACTCCTGAACCGAGAGGAGAACTACAACAAGAAATTCAATGCTAACCCTGTCGTCGGCGTCATGCAGGTGCAGACAACTTTCCTCCTTTTCATCCCATCTGGATGAAAGCGAAACGTTGCTGATACCTTTGCCTTGGAGAAAGATGGTCGGAAATCAGGAGATTCCTTAGCTTGGACAACCACTACTGTCATCGGATGTGTTGTGGTCGCTCTAGCCCGTGGGTGTACCAGATGTGCTTTTGTGACCAGGTCGTCGGCTGCTCCCTCTCTGCACGCCGGCCTGCTTAGGTAGTCTAGCTGGACACGCCGCACGACTAATTCATTCGCCGAGTCGGTAAATAAACCCCTCCGCCTAGCTGCCTTTTGGATTCTTGGCCATGACCGTGCGTAAACAACACGCAATGAACGTTTCCAGGTTGTAAAACCGAAGGATATCCGAGGAGGGTCGGAAGGCTCAAACAAGAGGACGGGCTCGGAGGCGCGCTTCAATCCAGCGCAGCAACAAAAGCCTCGCCCGCCCCGCTACGACAAAAAGACGGCAAGGTCCGCTAGCATGCCTAGCGACTATCCCAGCGCTGGGGAAGGGGGTATGGCGAAGGGGGTCGGGGGCGTTGGTGGCCGTAAACACCCTGCTACTAGCGATGGCGGGAGTCTTGACTCATTGACATCTTCTCGTAGTAATGGGGGTAGTTCGAAGGAGGCGTCGCGGGCGAGGGGAGGACGCGCATGGCGAGAAAGGACAGGCCCTGAGGGGGGAGGATCCATCTCGACCGGGGGGAGTAGGAGCTGAAAGAACGAACAAAGTGTCCAGGTTAATCAGTTTTGCTTTGATGTGTCTTCACGCGATAGACACGGAGGCACTGGAAACTTTTGCTGTGATCCTCTCACGTGCCAGGCTCTTCACGCCGGTGACGCCGGTGCTCTCGCCCCGACGCTGTGGTTCAGATTACATCTTCGGTTCAACATCTTCAACGCACACAAATTGCTGCGTGGTTTGCCAACACCGCAAAAGCGGGATGGACTTTCGTTTTTTTGGCGGAAATAGTCCTGGCGGGCAATAGTTTACACGCAGCAGGTGCTCGATGTAGCGAAAGGTACAACGTGGAGAGGTTTGCAGCGAGGGGATACTCTGTTCTCATGCGCGCCTCCCCAATTTGTTTATTCGCTCTGGTTTCACCTGATGGTCTCCAACGCCTTGTGTGCCTCGGGTTGAAACAAAGTTGTTCGTACTGTACAGACGCATCGAAACGAAGATACCATCATTCTGCGGCTGCGTGTCTCTGCATATCCCCGCCACTTTGGCAGGTTTCACGCGTTCTCTCGCTTTTACACACCTACTCTCAATAGTGTGCCCATCAATTTTCCGACCGCAAGCGAAATAGGATCACCAGCACCAACTTGCAACTATCCTTCTTCTCTACCTTCCTCCTGCCCTAGCCGACCGGGAATCACATCCAAGCACGATCCTAAACCTACCGTCTCTTCATCTCCCTGGACCACATCAACAAAGTATCACGACCTTGCACCATCATGTGTTTCTGCTTCTTCATGAGCGTGACCGATTGCCTGGCGGCGACTCATGAGATCGAATTCCACGCGATAGAGGAATGAGTGACATCTTCAGTGCGCCCCGGCAGCATGGCAAGGCACCGCTGCTCATGTTATTTCACGGCGCCGTGCACAGGCTAACGCTTGGACGATCGACAACCAAGGAAGACGTTCCGCCGGAACCACCTGCATAGTTGCTGCGCAATGAATGCACAGCCCATTTCGCAATAACATCGAGCCAATCTATCCACCACGACGTTGAAAAATGTCTCCGAGGACCCGATCGAGCACATCGAGCTGAGCGGGACCCAAGGGGCGGCACGCTGCACAGAGGCGGGCGGCGGGGGCCGCAAGGTCGGCCCATGCGATGCCGCCGCCTTCGGACCACGGGTCAAGGAGAGAGTCTTTCGCACCGGTGGTAGTGGCCGCGCCACCGGCCGCGCCGTCGCCGTAAAGGTTGACGCCGCCGCCGCTGTTGCCACCCGTGCCGTCGCCGAGAGCGTTGTTGGCGTCAGCGACATCGCGCCCTTCACCTTTGGTGGTGTTGTTGCCGTCGTCGTTGCCACCGGTGGCGTCAGAGGGACGAGGGGGGAGGCTTTCGCCGCGGAGAACGGCCTCTACTAGACCCCTCAGCAGCAACGGGAACCTGACGGCCGGTGTTGAGGCGATATTGGGCACCATGTGGCGGCCGAGGAAGAGGGGTGAAACGGGTAACAGTTCATCTTTAGACAAGAGGCGTCGTACAATCGACATGCGAGACTATCACCGCTGCAAGCGATATGTGTGATCGCACGTTAGGCTTAGCTATGGAATTTGTCCTGGCTTTCGTCCACGAACGCACAACGCAAGCAAGTCTTTCGGCAATCCTGGAAGAAACATTCCGCGACCGAAAAAAGACTCATCGCACTCCGCAAGAGGCATGAACACGTAGGCACAGGCCGAAGGCGGCATTTCCGTGGAACCAAGGATAGGACAACACAACCAGAGTAGGTAGAAACTGAGTGCCAAACGGGGTGTCTACGAGAAAGCCGCGAAACCTAAACAGCACACCTCTCGCTATCCGTTTCTTCCAGCGTCTGGTGGTGCCGCATCAGCTCTCCAAGAAGCGCAACGCCGTTCTCCCCTTCTTGCAGCCCTCCTTCCCAGACATCGGGACTGCGATTCCCCCGGGGCCATTCTCTAGAATCGGGCGCCCCCCTTGACGTGCCGACGGTGCTACCGCTTCCGTCTGCTGCAGGCGACGGGGACAGGACGGCCCTCGCTAGCGAGGCACCTACGGCTCCGATGCCCACCCTGAACTCGTCCACTAGGAGCCGCAGAGCAAGCGCCCGAACCTGCTCAGAAGCGTGTTGTTTAGGTCGTCCAAGTTGTGCTTGGTGAAAACGGCGACATGATCACAACGATTTCCCGCGGTTCTTTCTAAGCACGAGCGAGGTGTGAGGAACGGAAGCAGGCATGGCTTTGATTCAGCCGGCGGCATTGCAGCCTTGCGGGCCACTTAAGGTTAAATGTGCGACGACCCCAAGGCTCTTTGGGGGGGTGGGTGATCGGGAGTATGGCGGTTGGGTGCGCGACGCACCGCCGTCAACAACGACGGCTTTGGCAACCCGTTACAGACGCGCACCCACCTGTTTAGATCGGCTCTTTCTCCGGAACAAAACAATGTTCACGCGGAGTTCGTCTCCACAAAAGCCTGACCGGCCAACTAGCACACAGCAGGTCGCCGAAGTGCGTTTCGACATACACTCTACGTTACCTGTAGTTTGGTCTACTTGGCCGAAGCCTCTGAAAATGAGCCACACGAGCGGTTTCCTGTTCTTTCCGGTCACAACATCATGTAATCAACTCGATCCGAAGCCAGCTACGAAAAGAGATCGGTTCCTGAAGCCTCCCCCACAAAACAGGAAACACGAAACGCCTCTGCACTGAGTGAAACTCCGATCCGGGGTCGGTCGAGCGAACTGGTTTCCGTTCTCTTCTGCCTCTCTCCCCAAGCAATCATCAAGCTGCCGGCATTCTGCGAACGAAATTTGATGGAAAACCCACACAACGACGCATTCTTCTCTTTCACTGATTCCCACCCTTAGCACGCGAACGTTTCACTCCATCTGGGCCACCGCACGCACTGGGGCTAAGGCGAAGAAGGGCTCCTCCATGCAGAAAACCAACGCGCAAGTCTGAAGGAAAACTCTGATGCCCGCAACAGTCACGGACCCAAATCACCTTTGGGGCTGCGTCGAGGCACCTCTCCAGGAGCAAGGACACCGCTGGCACGCAGTCCGACGAGCAGCCCTGGAAAACGGAGGCGAAACGTTTAATAGGACCCAAGGCCTGCGGGGTCTAGGGATATATCGTGTGGGAGCGGAGGTAGTTGCGGCCGAGGGTTTGATGAATCAACGCAAACGCGCGCGAGTCCTTCCCAGCCGGAAATGGGTCCAAACTATGAGTTTGCCGAGAGGGGAATAGATGCACGTGATTGAGCGTGGCGCTTGTGGACGCTTGGGGGACGAGACGACCTGGGCAAGGGCTTAGTTCGCGGTCAGAGCAAAATCTCGGCGCATTCTTCCAAACGAGAGAAACCGCTGCACTTGACGGAATATTCTATACCTCCTTTTGAGCGGCATCTCAAAGCTCGATTGCTCACCGTGTCAGAGAAGAATTTCGGTACAAAAAAAGGCGGCGTTGGAAACCCCTCGTCAAGACTTTGCGGAACTCTGCTCCAGGAAGCGCTATTAGCGCCGCTTTCCGACACATACTTCCGTGATATTTTTTCGACTTGGGAGTACCGAGGGCAAGCGGCGTAATCGGTACTGGTGCTCGACTTGAAAATCAGGAGAACGAAAGCCATCCCGAAATAGCGGAGTCTCATTCTCTAACGCGTGCCACCGTGGGGAAGGAACCCGTCTTTTCGCGGCTTGGCGACGCTGCTTGTCGTCTTTAGTTGCCCAACCGGTGGGGAACCCCCCCTCCCGTTAATTTTCTGTAGAGGTGAGGACTTTGCCTACGTATAGCCCATCCAACCCACGAAAAGGTCCCCCAGCGCTGTTCCCCTTCTCTTCGCCTTACTACGTACCTCTCCTATGGCGGCGAGGGCGGAGAGTCTGACGGCGACGACACCGTCCAGGGCGAGAGCCGACAGCACCCCGAGTAGCACCGTCTGCCGGGTCGAGTAAACGCAAAGACGATGGGTGCCGCAAACAAGGCCGGCGAAGGCACCAGAACGGCGCGTAGTGAGAAGAAGACAAGCGGGCAAAGTGGACTCGGCCTGGCGCCGACTCCACAGATGGCGAACAAGCGCCCCGGGAAGTGCAGTAACACAGACAATACGAAGACGACAGGTATGTAGCACGTAAGCGCTCGCCCGCTCCAACACAAAGGGTATGCAAAAGAACAGGACCGAAGAAAGGGCGGGCGTTCTTTGCTTGCGGCCACGGTATCGCAGCGTTTAGGCGCTAGACCTGGTTGGGAGTGAAGCCAACGCGCGCCTCAGATATACACAGCAAGGATTTCTTGTTTTTCACACCTGCACACCGTGGGTGTCTGACGAGCTGCAAGTTCTGCGGTACTCGAGGAGGCCATCAGCGACGGCCGATCGGAGGCTAGCCTTGGCCTCCCCTTCCACCATCTCCTGCCTGGAGACGTAGCACGTTCGGGGGATGGCACGCACTCGGGTCACAGACGGCCTAACTGTTTTCGATGCACATCACACAGCACCGTATGTTGCGCAAGATCACATCCCCTGGACCGATTTTCAAAGCTCTTTTGCCCGGTAGGAAAAATATTGACGGTGCCAGAAATGGCGGCGTCGGGGCCGTCTCATCGAGAGCCTGACGAAAACGTATCGTTTGATCAGATACACATCAGAGGGTTAACACAAGTGCACAATACGTGATTTTGCCGTTGCTTCCTCGTTTTTCGGGTAACCCAAAGTATTTGACAAATGGAATAAGCTTCCATGGAAGTCGAAATTAACTTCCATGGAATTGGTTCACTGCTTCCATGGAAGTGGTTACCCCGTCCTTGGAAGTCACTGCTACTTCCATGGCAGTCAACATGAACTTCCATGGAAGTTAGATGGCTTCCATGGAAGTCCAATCGACTTCCATGGAATCTGTTCGTCTATTTCGGGTTCCAGCTTCCATGATGCTTCCATGGAAGCGGTAAACAACTTCCATGGAAGTTAATCCCCTTCCATGGAAGTTGATCCCTTCCATGGAAGCACCCGATATCAACCGCCCGTTGCTTCCATGGAAGTTGCATTTCGGGCTTCCACGGGAGCGCGAGGAGCTTCCATGGAAGTACTACTTTCATGGAAGCTCCTCGTGACAGAGTCTCTGCTACTTGCATGGAAGCACGAAAACTCCCATGAAAGCAAGTTCCATGGAAGTGGGTGACAGAGGTCGAAACCGACTTCCGTGGAAGCACCGAAATGTTTTTGAAAGCAACTTCCACCGAAGCGTCTGGACATGTGGTCATTCCAGCTCCCTACCCTGACCCTAACCCTAAACCCAAAGCAACACCACGAAAGCGTCTGGACAGACAGTCATTCCAGCTTCCCTACTCTAACCCTAACCTTAACCCTAACCCCGATAAGACCGTGGAAGCTAACCCTAGGTTGAAAAATTCCATGGAAGCCGCCCTAAACCTGTTTTGAATAGCTTCCATGAAAGCCTAAGGTTCGACTTCCATGGAAGCTATTCCACTTCCATGGGGTTTCCATCGGGACTTCCGTGGAAGCTCACTTTCGTGGAAGTGGCACATCCATATTTCATACTTTAGTTTCATGGAAGTTAATATCACTTCCATGGCAGTGTTGTTTCGCGCTTCCAGGAAGTGCGAAACGTGCAGCTTCCATGGAACTGATATCAGCTTCCATGAAGTAGATCCAACTTCCATGGAAGTTGATTTATACTTCCATGGAAGCCGATTTATTCTTCCATGGAAGCGGTACACATTTGTCAAATAGTGTGGGAGATCGGGGTCGTTTTTCGCCCCGTCTAAGGTGACTTGTTGTTGGTATCCTGTCACTCCTCCTTGCCATTTCGAGTCTGCTCTTCTCGCTGTTGTGGCAGGTGATTAAGCTGTTTCGGGGAGACTTTCGCGGATCCGTCCGAAACCTCGCATCCCGCGGCCACAGAATGAAACGACACCACGAAAGTTGTAAGGTTTGCTGTATGAACATCGCTGCCATAGAGCGAGGGCACAGAAAACACGGCAGATCACCCCACTAATATGAGCGACAGGCAGACACGGTCGTAAATGGTGCTTTAAGGCACCTCACTGACCCTTTGGCGCAGGCACAAGCGCACTGTTTGATGAGTTCCTCCGAACTACTGACGAATAGGACGTAGGGAAAGGTTACTTACTGCGTAGTGCAATTGCCTGACAGGCGCAGCGGTCGCCTGCGTATCTAACGATGCTAACAATCTACAGGATACTTCGGTTGTGCGCTTCGTGGGGTAGGAAAAGGCGTTTGAAGATATTGGTTATACCGTTGTTTCGCTCTCGTCGCTGCTGATACCAGTGCGGGTGTTTCGGAGGGACGGGCTGAGGTCAGAACGGTTTTCATTGCGAAGGCATCGAGAACAACATCAACATGCACGATGCAGGCGGGGTGTGCTTCGTGAATCCCACCTGATGAGCGACAAGCACGATGAAGTGTGACCGAGGATGTCGATGCAGGCCAACACAAGCCCTCGGCGACGCAGCTTGTCGTTCCCAGCGTTGCTCCCGCGTCCGTCCTTCTTTCCCTTGCCCTTACTCCTCGCTCTCGCCCTGTCCACTGCAGCAAGGGGCGAAACTACCTTACGCCCTTTCCGACAAAAAAATCAAACTTCGAGCCAAGATTACTGGTACCTACAGAGAGCACACCGCGTGCAATGGTCTCTTCTGGTCGGCCCCGCCCAAAATATGTACTCCGAAGCTTCCAGAGTGAGCTTTACGACAAGGTTGGCGGCTAGGGGGGTTCTAAGAAAAGGATAATCTGCCGAGGCCGAGGCCACGTTGGGGTCCATCGTATATGTCTCATTGTCCGAGGGCATGGGCACGGGCATGACACTGTGCGGACCGAGTATTGGGACAACTACCTGCCGAAAGGCTGTGTTGCATGACGCTGTGCTTCTGCAGCAACCGCTACACGAGCGTCGAAGTCATCGCGCACCGGCACCTGGGAGTTCAGAAAGGGAGAGCCGAGCAGCTATGCCCCACCCAGTCCTTTGCTCAACTCCCCGCTCCGAGCTGAGCTTTACGTTCCGCTGCAACCGCGATGAAATGATTTTACGTGCGTGTGTTGTAGGGCCTCGCGTATTGTGTCCCCTAGTGTGTACCTGTCGCTGTGCCTCCCATCACGACATCATCGCCTAGAGAAGATACTTCGTTGTCGTCCTCGTCGTCGTCGTCGTCGTCTGGATCGTCGATAGAGGCTGAGGAAGACAGCAGCACGACGGAGGGATCACCCCAGGCCTTGACTTCCTTCACCGTGTGAACGATCATCCTTTCCATGTTGAAGGAGTTGCGACACCTGCCAGTCCACAAGCGGCAGGAGGAGGAAGCACAGACCGGTTGTTGTTTTTGATAGTCTTGGAATAAATATAAGGGTTGGAAGGAAGCGCTACAACAGAGCCGATTCCCAACGCCGCTGTTGGTTCTGGGAGGGGAGAGCTCGAGCCTCGGCCTTCTCCGGCGGTTCATCAAGAATTTTATAATGATTTACGTAGATTATGGGCACCCCATCTTAAGAACTTCGGCAATTGCAACGGTTCAAAGGGCGGAGCCTGCTGATTGCTCCAAGGACGAAAAACAAGAACGCGTTAGACACGCCCACGCTAACGTATAGTGGTGAGCGTTTGGCATCCTCCCCACGGCACTCTTCGGTGAAAGCCACTCCCAGCTTACGACGACACCCCCGCCCCCTTCCCCGACGCACAGAGAAACTATCTTGCGCCCCTCCCGCCTATGATCAAGAACGTATCCCTAAAATACTGGCAACACCCCGTATGAAAACCCTCCTAGGACAACAACATAAAACCACAACCTAGAACAATTTTTCGCACCTGGTTGTGCGCACCAAGCTCCTCAGGAGCGCCGCAAGCCTCCGGGGAACTCTCCGCGAGCCGCCGCTCTGTCCCCGCCGACCACCCCCCATCCCCATCAGCAACACCTTCGGGATGACATCCCTGAAGAACGCGCCGGAGGTGTCCGGGTCGGCCCGGACGTAGTTGCCGATGATGGTCACACAAGCGCGCGTCTCATCCTCCGGAGATAGGGCAGCGAAGGAGGCGGTGGCATCAGCAGTCCGGCGGCGGCGGTTGCGGCTGGAGGGAGGCGGAGGCGCGGCATCCGAATCTGAATCGCGGCTGCCCTCGGAGGATGAGCTTGCTTGCGAGGGGGCGGTGTCCTACGTTGTTTCGTGGATGGAGATAAGCGTGGTGGTTGATTTAGGGGACGTGGGGGGGGGGGCGGTCGAAGGTGCTTCTCGTCGATTCCTCACGCGTGTGTGAACGAGTATGCGTCTGGCATCAATGGAAGTCAGCCGACAATCAAACGGAAATGCGAACGGCAGTATCGTTTCCTCCCCCGTTCGTGACCCACGAAATCGTGACAGTATATTAAGGACGCACACTAAGCGGCACGAAGCCAGGCAATCTATCAAAGCCGGAGGGGGGGGGGGCGTAACACTCTTCGGCGCCACACAAGATTAACAAGAAACCACCGCAGCCGCAGCCTAGGTACACGACGATCTACAACATCACCCTACACGTGAGCGCGCTTCAGACAGAACCTATGCTGGCGACCTCGAGCTGCTGTTGCGTGGAAAATATAGTGCGTGGTTACTGGAGTTGGTACGTACCCCGAAATCTAGCAAAGAAAGAGCACTGCAACAACGACAATTCTGCCCTACCCCCCGTGAAACTGCCGACAATGGGGCATCACAAGCACACTCCCTTTCAGCCTGACTCCCGTCTAAACTAGGCTCGAAAACGATCTGTCGGTGCAAACGTCCGCTCGAGCGAGCTAAAAAAACACTCCGACATGAATCAAGTTCCCCAAAAGCAACCTCATAAAGCAAGGACGCCCCGCTAGCGACAGGTTTACCATACACACACGCACACCCGTCCTTCACACCTCCTCTGCTTCGACGGCCATTTCCAGCTGGCCGAAGTCCCCGTCATCTTGCACAAGGCACTGCAGCAGGACTTCCAACCCGAGGCCCACCGGACCTGAGCGGTCTGGGGTTTTGAGGACGCTTTGGTCGAACAACTCCCTGCCCTGGAAACGGCTCACGCGGATTCGGGGGAGACTGATGTTGTCGCGGTTGTTGTTGTTGCTGGTATTGTCGTTGGTGGTGGTGGTGTGTGATAGTTGTTGGTGTTGTTGTTTTGTTGGTCTTGCCCTTGCTCCTTTGCTGTTGTGTATCGCTGCGATGTGCACGAAATACGGCCATGTTGTTGACAGACCACGATCAGCTTGACATCGAAAGACCACCGGACTTATCTCTTAGAAACTCATCGACCAAGTGTTGACGGACTATCCCAACGAACGCACCACGGTAGTCGAACCTTCCCAGGACCTGAGCAGCGCCCTCGTGAGCGTGGCTACGACGGTGCGTCTGCCGCAGTCCACGGTGTCCCTCCCGTTCATGCACAGGTACTCTCGCAGCGTCCGCAGCCCGGTAACCTTCGGTGCCTTCAGCACCCAACAAGCAAGGCACCCCACCTCCGTCATTGAATGGTAGGAGTCGTGCTACAACGGCCAAACCAGACGCACGCAATGCACTCTAAAACATAAAGGGTGAGTACCGCTTGTGTATTCAACCCACCGCAGGTTTTTGACCAATCAGCTAACTGCGTGCCACAAATCCATTTCTCTCTTGGCAGTAGCTACCGCCGTCAGATCTTGCACATTATTTTTGGCTGTCTGTAATCCTGGGTGCTGCCTTTCTAGATACCATCAACAACACAAAACGTTGAGTGAAAAGGAGCTAGTATCAACCCGGGGTCTCGAGAGAGCCATCCGTCCCGCCTTTCACATACCTGAGACGGCAGCAAACACGCCGCACTGCTGGCCTCTCCGGGAGGAAGACGGCGGTTCTTGGCTTTCCAGTTGTGCCCTCGGTGCGGAGGCGGTGGTTGTCGGCGGGGTTCCTTCGCGGATATGATCGCCCAGAAAAAATTGGCCGGAAGGACATACTCCTCCAGATCCTTTCGTCACGGCGGAACAAAGAAATAATTGACCATGTCTCTCCGTCCACTCACTGCAAAGACTCCAGCACATCCCCTTCGACCGCTGTGGGCATATCTCGGTTGGGCAGTCTTTCTGCATGTGTATTTATCATTCTTAAAAAATGTCTATGGGGAAACGTTCGCCGACCACGGCTACTGGGAGGAAGGAAAAATTCTGAAAGACAATATCGTACCCCAGGGGGTTGTGGAAGAAGAGCTCAGCATGATAAACCTCGTTGAGTTCCGGAGGGGGTGGGGGGAGGGGGGGTGTACTCATAGTCGTGCATGCCGTAGTCGTTGGACCATTGACCTCGCATCCCTACAAAGCCGGGACGGAGCACGCCGGGTTCTCACCGGACCAGGCTCTCACATCACCAAGCGCGAAGCGCCGTGCGGTATTCGGCGAGTGGCATGAAGGGCGAGCTGCATCCTGCTAAGGGTGTTCGGCATCCCGTGATTACTTCCTTGCGTACGGATGACAGCTGAGTATGACTTAATTCATTTTCTGGTGCTTTCACTTCCAGAGACAGTTGTAAGCACTGTGTAACTGCCTCGAGGGTGCTTGGCCATTTTAGCACAACGTGGTGCGATTATCCCCCTTGCGCGGAGTGAGGGTTCTCCACCCCGCACAACATATTCTACTCGACCACCATTCATGGTTACCGCAAAAAAAAAATGCAACAAAAAAAGCAGTAACCTGGTTGCCGAGCTCACGATGTGATCGGCTTGTTTTGCAACATCGTTGCCAAGCGGCGAAAACCCAACCCCGATGGCAACACCGGGGGGGTCGGCTTGTTTTACATGGTCGTTGCCAAGCGACGAAAACCCACCCCCGATGGCAAACACCGGGGGGAGTTCCGGAGGGGAGTGCGACAATAGCAGATGCGAAACATTCTTGTTGAGCGAAGACGGGAACGACAACACATCACATGTTTTCGCCCTCATGACACGAACGGCCCACCCATGTCCAACATCGAAGCTTGTTTTCCGATCTCGAATCCGCTTCCCCTTCCCTCCCGCCCGTCGAAACTCATTCCCCGAAAATCCCAGTCTAACTTCAAGACACGACCTCTGGCAGGCACGGTACGCACCTCAAACGGTTCCAGACACGCGATGAAGGTGGAAGCCCCATCGAGGGTGGCGGCGGCTCGAGGCAGTAGGCGGAGAAGGTGGGCCAGCATTTCTTGCACGAAGGAGATGGGGGGCGACGCCTGCTCGTGGTCGTGGCGGGGTGCGTCTGTCCGTTGGTCGTGAGTGATGAGGGAAACTCAGCTGGGCTTGTCGGGGGCCAAATTGGCTACTCCCGCGCTACTCTCAAGCTGTTGTTGCGGCCGTACGTGTACACATATCGTAAGGTAGGTGTACATTTTGGCACACGCCGAACACCAGGATTTCAACCGTAGGACAAAGACGTTTCCATGATAAATCATGGGTACGTTCGTTTGTGACTCCTAGGCAGATCGCGTCTCGTGTTAGAGATTTCGTCTCGTGTTAGATATGTAGCGCCCAGGCCCCTTCGCTATCCGATCGAGTGTTTCTATGATGAATCATGACTACATTTAGTTTGTGATTCCTAGGGAGATTGCGTGTTAGACATTGCGTCTCGTGTTAGATATGTAGAAGTAGCGCTCAGGCCCCTTCGCTATCCGATCGAATCTCAGATGCCACCTAAACAAGACAATACAGGTACGAACAGCGTATTTGAGAGCCGGATTCGGTTTATGCGTATGGGTTGAGGTGCTAGGCTATTCATTATGTAGTGTATAATGCGAACAAACCCGAAAGGCTACGTAGCAGGCACGAAACGCATCAAAACAACGAGGTTCTCTTCTGGGCGCTGGCATCGTCCACAGGGCGTGAACCACGCGCGATTGGGCCCTCTCTCGGTGTGTGATGAGGCAAAGTCATAGGAGTATCATGATGTGCCCACTGACTCTACCGTTATCCAGGAAAGCTGGCATGTCTGTGCGTGTAGTATGTAGTACCGCTGCCAACTACGTGTGGATAAGATGCTGACGGGCAGAACTACGACGCACGCAATGCGATGACAGAGGGGGATGGTCGCCGTTTTCGTTGCAACTATAATACTTGTTTCGATCCCGGAGAGAGAGAGAGACAGGGAGAGAGACAGACAGAGAGAGATGAGGGGGGGGAGAGACAGAGACATAGACAGACAGACAGACAGACAGACAGACCTGTGGCAGACAGACAGAACAGACAGACAGAGACAGACAGAGACAGACAAAGACAGACAGAGACAGACAGAGGGAGCCACTCATGCTCTCAATTTTCAAAATTCAAACCTGGAAAATGTGGATACACTGCACTGACTTCACCAGGTCCAGGAAGCTTCCGAGCGACTCATCGCTAGTCGACGGAATCTTTACCGCATCGGCCAGCAACCTCTTCCTCTTACGCATATCGGTGTCAGCACTCGGGGCTGCCAAGCCGCCCTCTCGACTTCCCCCTCTAGCTGTCTTGAGGCGCTTTCCAGCAGCAGATCCTCCCGCACTTGGAGGAGAAGCTTGTTCCGCCATGCCTCGATAAAACCCTATCTAGGGTGCGTCAGGAGACTGAGAGAGAGGGGTGTGCGCGAGAGCGACCACTGGTCACGAAACCGCTGCTGTGCTGCTTTGACTTGACGAACTTGCATACGTAGTGCCAGCCCAAAGCAGAGAGTGCGGGCTGATATGCTATGTACGCAACAGCAACCTCCTGCTTCAAATACCTTGATACCTTTCGCCAAGGGGGACGTCGGTTGGGAGCGTGTCAACAGGTACATGTGTATTTTCGAACCGGGAGCAATTGGCAGGGAGTCGGGCGATCTGGCGGGCGCTGGCCAGCGCAATTGTCGCCTACCCACCGCGGAGAAATGAACGAATGCGACATCGAGTACCCCCCTTGCGAGTGCGATGAACCGATGGAAGGCTCCTTGCCGGTGAGAGCTGTAGACTGCAATACGCCTTCAGAGATCATCGCGAGAACGATGCTGCTGCTGTGAATCCATCCCCCGCTGAGAAGCGGCCTCTGCTGATGTAGTCCTCTTGCAGAGAGCCCCTCAGGCCTTTTATCAACAGGTTTGATGGGCCATTGCAAAGTGTGCGTTGGTTTCTTGGGCATTGTTGTGGACGGTGTTTACATGCTGTCCTTGTTCTTCATTGTCGACTAGAGTCGTCTATTATTTAGGCGGAAGCGGGGTGTTCAAAACACTGATGATGCTTGTATAATTAAGGAATAATAAATGCATACACAGAAAGACTACAATACCCATTCGAGATATACCCACACAGTCGAACGGGATGTGGTGGAGTGTTTTGTATAAATGTAGTTGCATCTGATCCCGAAAAATAATTACACGCACAGAAAGACTACCCATTCGAGATATACCCACAGTCGAACGGGATGTGGTGTACTCGCGCTGCTGTACTACTACAGCTGCTACAAGCACTACTGCGGCGCAACTGCTGGCGCCGACGATGTTTGAAGCGTTTTTCGGCGCGGTCAAATGGGCAGTCTTTCTGTGTGTGTATTTATTTTTCCTTTACACGGGGAGACGAAAGACTAGAAGTCTAAACGTGGGGTCAAAACTCTCTACAGCAGTATCATCAGTGGCAACATGGTATTTCCAAGATTGCTACTAAAGTTAGCGCCCGCAATATTAAGAAACGCTTATTTCAGGCCCAGGCTCAAATTCTTATTGTGGGCTATAATATAAACTCAGCGTATGTTGTCAATTTCTTATATGTCAAGTTTCTTTTTTTTTCGTGCCGCAAATCCTGCTGAATTTCTTGAATCGGCAAATTCTTATTTTCTCTGCTTACGAGAGCTGGCGGAGAGCACCATCAAAACCGTACAGCAGACAGCATATCGTGGTTCGCAGCCTGTCTGGTGTGCTGTGCCAGAGCCGGAGCGCCAGAGAGCGCCAGAGCTGGCAGGGGGCCGGAGGGGACGCCGCAAAAAAAAACACTTCCCCCTCGTCGTACAACTAATAATGCACTTGGGAAGGGGAGGGGTATGGGAGTTGGGGGAAAGAGCGAGAGATAGGAGGAGCTGTGGGGTGTTTCTTATTCGACACACTCTCCCGTAACCCCTCGTTTCGTATGTGGTAGGGCAGCGGTCGCCGCTGTTTCGCATTGAGACGTTTCTTATTGTGTGACCCAGACTCAGCCATGTTTCTTAACCCAATATTCTTATTTTTCGTGGAAAAGTGAGCCTCTATTTCTTAAAAATATATATTTCTTAATTGCGGGCGCTAACTGTATTAATAATAATACACAAATTCGGACTGGGGCTCCGAATTTTCCCATTTAAGGAAGCAGAATTTGAGATAAGAACGTTTCCTGGAAACTTCGTGCAGGCAAACATTTTTCGATTTAAGCGGCTTCATGTGATTGGCTGAGGGGCAACAGTTCACGCAACGAACTTCCCCTGTCCGCAAGTACTTTTTTTTTGTGGTGCGCTGCGTGACACAGCTGCACCCTGCTGACACCGCTCTCACTGCTGCTGTTGAGTGTGCATGCATGCAATACGTGTGCGTGTCTGTGTCGCCCCCTCAACCCCAGCACACGAAATCGCACCAGAACGGAGACAGGAAGTTTTGTACTCTGGCCGGCAGCCTCTGAACGAAGTGCTGTGTCGCATCTCAGGCGTTCGGTACAGCAGGAGGAGGTTCTTGTTTGGGACAGGGGGGCAAGTCAAGTCAAACTCTCCCTCCATGCTAGCAGAAAACCAGAGAATAATCTTGCGCGGGGAAAGACACGCCCGTCTACACCAGGAGGCCACTGCGTGCTCTTCCTCCTGTCTGTCTGATCCTCTTTGCTGGAGGTGCTGCCACCACGTCTACGTCGTCGCTCGTCGTCGCCTCAGTGGTTCCGGCGCTCTCCTCTTCCCCCTTGCTTCAACCTCTATGTGTGTGTGACGGGCGTGTGTTGCTGACCTACTGCTGCTGTAGAGCCGCGCAAACAAACCCAGCTTGGCTTTCCAACCGTGCAGCCTCCCTCTTGTTGGTGGCGCGCCAACTCCAGGGCCTGTTCGCTGGGCGCTGGCCTTCGCTTTGGCCGCGCGGACTGCTGTGTGTGTGTGTGTGTGTGTGTGTGTGTGTGTGTGTGTGTGTGTTTATTAGCATCGACCGCGCTAACCGGCTGACCAATGAAAATACGTCAGTCTTAGTGCGGTTGAAAACACCAAACACTTCTATCTGCCATGAACTGGGACCCCGTGAGGGGGAAGCATGGGATGTGTGTGTGTGTTGTGCCTGATGTGTTATTTCAAAGGATGTTACTAAATCCACAAAACAAGCCGCCCGCCTCTCTTAATCTGGAAAAAAAAATCCTTATCGTGGGTTCTGGCGAGACTCTTAGAAGCGACCCTCAGAACGGTGGCTCAACTCAAAGTCTTTTTCCTTAATCTGGAGAAATTTTGAGTCCGAAAGAGTCTAATATGGCGCAAGAGCGGTGGATTATGTCGCTAATTCGGTTCAAACAACTCTCCGCGGTTTGCTGTCGCGAACTTCTTGTAGTTCATAACAACGCTGGTCAGGTCCACTCTCTTGTTCTTCGCTACTATTCTGCAGGCTAGATTACGTGCGTCCTCGCTCGCTCGAGGGTCACGTTGCTGTGGCCGAAAAGGTTTTACTAGTACCTCCCCAGGCGTGTCATCAAGGGGTGCTTAAGCAGGCAGCAGACCAACTCACAGTGCTGCCAGCTGCCGTGTGACATTTTCCCCAAGCTCAACAGCCTACAACAGCTGGGCGTGTTTTTGCACCGGACAGCCCAGCACGAAAGCGAAAGCAAGCAGCAGGGCCAACTCGCAACCGACTGCCAGCTGTTGGGCATCGTCCCAAGCTCCACAGCCCACGAAACAGCTGACGTGTTTTCGACCCGAACAGTCCAGCGAAGTCTCAGCGAACAACAACAACAACAACAACAACAACAACAATTGAAGTCGGGGTGTAGTCGAATCATTCTTGCGTAGACCCCTATCGTCTTGTTCGCGTTTTCCCTGTTGGACACCGTATACCACGTTTTTTGTCGGTTGCACGAGAACGGAGATGGCACGCGGAAAGAGTATGTGCAGTAGATGGTTTACTGCTTTGAAGACATCATCATCGCCACCAACAACAACGTCAATGTCGTGGACAATACACAGCGTGTAGCACAAGCCGTGTCATCCCGCTCAGACCATGTGAAACATTCCTCTGACATATTGCATGTGTTCTCTGCTGTTGTTGCTGCTGCCCCCCCCCCCCCTCGAAGCTGGGGATGGAGATGAGACCCATGGAACCCGAGGATCTAGTCGAGGTGAAGCGATTGCACGAGCAGTGCTTCCCGGTCCGCTACGACATGGTAAGCGTTTCTTGGTGGCGCTTGTCCCTCGGCAGACTGGATGTACACTTCTGGTCCCGATATAGTGCCGGGTAAATGATGCCGGGTACCCGGAAATGCCCGAGAAATCGCGCGACACAGATGTAGTGTCAACGTTGTTTCGTATTGCCGGGTTCCTGGAATATTATGCCGACTTTATTTCGGGACCACCGCTACTGTAAGTAGGATCTCATGCTCATGGGAGGGAGCTCCCCAACCAGTTGGCACAAGCAGTCTCGCGTTGGTTCGGTGCCGTAAAACACCGTGAGCGCTCAAGGGACGCGCGTGGTCAATGGCCTAACCGCTAAAGACATGAGTACCTCGCCACCCCCCCTCACGACCAGGCTTTCTACGAGAACGTCGTCCGAGGCTTCATCGCGCGAGGAAAAGGCGACGTCGAGGAGCCGCTCTACACCCAGGTGGCTGTGGTGCCTCCCCCCGCCGACGGCTGCTGCGGGTGGCCCGGGAGCGATAGCCACGCCGAAGAGTGCCCAGCGGACGGAGACAGCCCGGGCCAATCGGAGACCGGCGAACAGTCCCGACGATATCCCCCCCACGGGGGTGACGTCAGCGGGTGCGGAGACGCAGCAGAACAGGGTGCTGCCACTGGGCAGGGGTGCGGTGGGACGGAGCGCAAAGGGAGAGCAACCCCGGGATCGGGATGCCCGCTGGCTGATGCCGGGGGCGGGAGCGAAGATAGTCTCGACGAGGGAGGAGCGGACGGGGGGCGGGAGAGGCGGGGGGAAATCGCCGGCCTTATTACTTGCCAGGTTGGTTTCCTCCAAGAGAGAGAGAAAACGGATCTGGAACACTTGGTGCGATTCATTCTTTTTGGCGCGCCGGCGGGTGGTTGTTGTTCATCTGTTGGCAGTAGCGCTGGTTGCCTTTGACAGCAGCGCCCCCTCCTTTTCTGGGTGTATGACTGCGCCGTGAGCTCGAACCTGTATAGTGCATGAATCATCGTTCACGACCACAGCAACAGGAGTCTAAGGTGTGACCTTGTTGTATGCTGGGCTTCCCGTTCTAACTGAAACGGACGAGAGCGGACAGGTCGCCTCTGTTCTATAGGGCACACCTAACCCCCCCCCCCCCCCCCCGTCCTTTTTTTTCTTTTCTTCGTTGTGGCGGCTTTGCTTCACCACCGTGTCCCTTGGTTGACCTTCTCCAGGTTATGCCTCTCAGTCGATGTAGAGATCAGGATCGATTGGGGCTCAACACGTCGTATGGGGGGGGAGGAGGTGCTGCGCACAGCGAGGTCGTCTACATCCTGACGCTTGGCACAGAGACCAGGTACCGAAGACAGGTGGGTGGAGCACGAGTTGAGTTGCTGCCGTCGCGGTGACTTTTGCTCGCTCTCACCTCTGCCAGTAAGTAGTCGTCGGCTTGTCTCTCGGCGAGGCCCCGTGCTTTGCGGCAGTAGAAGGACTCCAAGTGTGCGAAGGGTGGCAGGTCACCCTTAGCAAGCCTGCCTACGCCGTACACGTGAGGTACATGGACATGTACCTTGCATTCATGATCACCATGCAAATTCAGATTTCGTCCCCACAGCGTCTCTACCATCCTGCCCGCGTGTAAACACCTGGCACGGAGGTGCGAGTACCCGCTCTTCCCTGGAGAGCACGTTAGACCCTGCATTTGTCTCCTCCCACTACAAGGGGTCACCTTGCGTGTGCGACGTCCATGTGCGGGCTATTCGCGAACAGCGTATTCCATCCCACACGGCCAACCGCCAACCGCCACCTTTCCGTGAACAGCAACGCGTCGAGTCAAGCTATTTCCCCCTACCCCAAACGTTGACGCGCGCGCCACAGGGGATAGGGCGCGCGCTGCTGCGCCGGTGCGTGTGGCTGTCTAGGCAGGAGAAATCCATCGGAGCCGTCTATCTGCACGTCATCACCACCAACCCTGCGGCACACCGGTTCTACGAGTCGGAGGGCTTTGTGCAAGTGTGCTGCATTAGCGGTGAGGGCTTAAGTTCTCGGGGTTGTGTCTGGTGCTGTCGGGCATTCCGGTTTTTCATCTTTCAAATTCTCGCGATAAGAACCGCGGCACGTACCGCAGGAGGAAAACTGGGGGTAAAACCAAAAACAGATGTGTGGTCCCGGCTGGCACGTGAAGCACATGCACCGAGGGTGTGTAAACTGGCGCCAGGGTTAAACGGGACGAAAAACCACGCGTGAAGCACACGCCGACGCCAAGCTTAACGCCGGACTTGATACTCAATGACCGTGTGTTGAAGTAGTTGCGATTGCGTGCCGTCGTGCGTAGGGCGAGGGACCGCGTGCTCGAAACGGCACAAGAGCAAAGGGTATGTGTTTCAGCCTTGGCATGGCGACGGCGTTCGTCACCCCCATCGCTGCCGCACCGCGTCGCCCTCCACCGACACGCACGGAGCGCACTGCTTCGTTCCTCCCCCCCTCCCCTCGCTCGCTTCTTTCCCACGGACCCTACCCCTCTCCCAACCTCAACAAGGAACGCTTACGTAGCACCTCCGCCCCCGTTTTATGTTTCCAGACTACTATCGAATAAACGGAGAGCTGTACGACTGCTACCTGTACGCGCTGTTCGTTAACGGCGCCCAACCTCCGGGAGAGCGGGGCTGGGGCATCCAGAGCCTTTCTAGGTGCGTGTTTTCAGTCTTGGTCTGCGGTGAAGAGGCGGAGAGATGGCGTCACCCCTGGACCGACTTTCAAGGCTCGAATGCTCCACGACCAAGATTGCCTGTATACCGTATACCATACCGTGGTACCTGTTCCGAAAGAGGCGGAGAGATGGCGCCACCCCTGGGCCGACCTTCAAGGCTCGAATGCTCCACGACCAAGGGGGCGCGGGAAGAGCCCGATACTCACACGGAAAGCCCTTCACCAGATGCTTCCAACTCCACCATGATTGGTGTTGGCATGCTCTTGGTCGTGGAGCTGTCGAGCCTTGAAAATCGATCTAGGGGGCAGTGCCATCTCTCCGCCTCTTACGGGACACCACGGTACGTTATACGGTACGGTTCAGACCATCTTGGTCGTGGAGCATTCGAGCTTCAAATATCCGTCTAGGGGGGGTGCCATCTCTCCGCCTCTTGCGGTACATAGATATATTGACATGGGGCTACCTCCTTCTGGGTGAAGGTGCTTCTTGGCCAATCGTTAGAAAATGAAGGATATGGTCCGATCTGAGCGTAGTGCGTGTCTGCGGTTCCGGCAGTGCACGTGGTTTTCTCATCGATCGGCGGGCTTGCTTGATCTGAGGCGGGGGGGGAATAGGGCAACTGAAGATTGGGCACCGCACTCGGTAGCCCATGGGCGCTTTGGATGCAAGCGTGGTGCATCAGCACAGCTGTGGGTTCTCGTTGTCAGCAATCGCGCAAGGGTCTGAGGGATGTTGCTGTGAGGCCTACCTGCGCCGCTACACCGAGCGCTTGAAAGTTTGTCGTGATGCCGGACCGCCGCCCCATTTCGACTGTCGTGCAAGAGCGGTCCTTCGTGCAACGCTTGGCAGCTCTTACCCAACACCCCCCCGCACGCTCGCACCGTTTTCACCACACCCGTGTGTGGGAAAAATCGCAGGCGGCTTCTCTCCATCATCTCCTTCTTTCGGAGGACCCTTGGCCAGGTGCCGGAAGAGGGGAAGCTCGCTGCGGCGGTGGCGGCCGCTGGCGGCACGTCCGCCCTGGAGCAGGAGCAACAGGACCGAGGGCCGGAAGACATGGAGCAAGGCGAAGAGAGCCGCCGAATGATTTCGCCGTTCGCGGCCGAGGCGGCTGCTACGGGTGCGGCGGCCGCCGCTTACCGAAAAAGCGGGGTCGCCAGAGGTGGCGGCGACCAATCATCGGCTGCTGCTACCGGGGCGGGCACTCCTCTGCACCCCTCTGGAAGAGGGTTCGCGAACGGACCGCTGCGCACCCCCGCACACAGGGGTAGCGATGGCAGCCCCCGTATCGATTCGCTCGAGGGAAGCAAGGAGGACACCGACTCGGCGCACGGAGGAGCAAGAAAAACAATTGTGACCTTGTGGAACGCGGTGGGCATGGGTGCGTGGGCACGGGGTGGGGCGGAGGACCGTTGCTCCGTGGACAAGTTTCGAGACGTTGTCGAGGTGGGACCGGGAGGTGTCTACGACGTATCATCGAATGGCGGTGGCGACCGACATTGGGGTGGGCGTGGGCAGGAGCCCGTATGACCCTAACGAGAATCGCGTCGACGTGTTTGACATTTTCACGTAGGCGGAGGCGCCCCTCCCCCCCCCCCCCCCCCGGTACCACCGGGCGCTTGCGTTGGCGCATCGTTAGAGTTTCTGGGTTTGGTATTTCTTTTGTTGGTGGTGGCGTGGTGGAGGTGAGGGGGTCTATACGCGGAGAGCTTCGTAGCTGGGAAGGAACGGTGTCTTGTGTCTGTTACGCTGTGTGTACATATGTCATGAGGTGTGATAGAGCTCCGACAGTATTGATCTCTGAAGATGCTGCGAGGGCACTATGACAGCAGTAGGCGTCTCTATCTTCCCTTTGCGAAGTGTAGAGCGGCGTAAATCATGTTGCAGCGCTCCGAAGTGTACGAAAATGGACCCCTAAGGCCTTCCAACTGCGTTGGTGAGGTAGTCAGCAATCATGTAGTGGTGAATTGTCGAGACGTGGCGTATTTTGCCCAATTCCAGACTCTCGCTGGTCGCTTTGATAATAATGTGATTATGCACAGGTGCTTGATGCCTCCGTCGGTGGCATCTTGAAATCCTGGACGGATAGAAAGTGATAGATTGTTTTGGAACAGAGTGAGACGTTTCGATATTTCGACCATGGCTGGCGACGCTCACCGTCCAAGAAATTTCGGCCAACCGGAAATCAGCGGCACCTATAAAAGGCTAAAGTTCCCCCCCTTGAGAAGCCTCGTCAGTGTGTCAAAAGTGTGTTGCGTTCTTCAGGTGCACATCTACGCGAAGAAAACATGCTGTTATCTTGCGATCTCGCGCCTCGCGCGAGAGGTCATTAGGCCGGGTCTTCATCGGTACAGTACGGTGTCATGTGCGATGCGAAACCGCTTTGTCGAGTGACACTCCGAGAGCGACGGCACTGGACGCCTGATGATCAAGAAACTGCTGGCGCAAGCAACGATTTTAGGGGGCCAGAAGAGGGTGCTCCAAACCTGGTCTGCTGCATTGATGGTTGTTCAACCACTCTCAGTACGAACAAGAACTAACAAGAATTCCGCAATCGATTTTGCACAGAAATATGCTATCGACCATGAACACTTGCGTGCACAACAACAAGAACACGGTGCTCGCCAAAAACTCACGTTGACCTGGACTGCTGTTGGTCCATATCCCACAACTGCAGCCTCAAGCACCCAACCCCCTAGTAAACCCTCCACACCATCAGGTGCAAATCTCTCTCGGTCGCCATCACAGAGGCAACACACCCCGACCAACTTCCCGCTTTGCACATTTGGTGCGCGCTAAACGCTTTCTGCCGCTCGTTGGCCTAGACCATGCTCCAACAAGTCAGGGGAGAGCACCCTCGTGCTCTGGCTATACAAACGGCTATTTATGCCGCCAGCTTCACAATAATAGAATACCCCAAGCACCAGGCCGCCGTGCACGTCATGTGCTCATTTGCACATTTGTACTGAGTGATCAGTGTCCGTCTACCGCCCGCTATTATCGGTTCGCCCAATAACAAGCTGCAGCAGCTGGATGCTCTAGAGCTCCCACAGCCGACCCCCGTGGGTGACGAACAAGTCGTACAGCGCCGCGAACAAGACCACCCCGATCGCAGCGAGGTACCTGGACACGAAAGTGACGAGAGAGCGAGCTTTGTTGACCAGCCGGCTCTATCATACAGCAACGGGGCGCGATTCGCAAACAAGCAGGAACCCGGCATACTGCGACAGAGCACCGAAGCCACCAAGCCGCGTCGTACATGGCCTGATTCTCGATGTCCAATCGCATTGCCGTAGCGCCTTCGGTACAATCAGTGCGTCAGGGATTGTTATTGGCAGACAATAGTCAACCCGTCCTACATATCCTACTGTTTACAGATTGACTGGCTCTGCAGAGCACTAACGGCTCAGTGCGAGACGAACAGTCAACTTCATGAAATTGGTGCTTGAACGATACATGCATACAATCTACAAGGGACCTGGCGGCTATCGCCGCCCCTCTCCTCTGCTCTGTCTCCTGCCCATCCTTTCACATTTTACCCACGTCTCTCTTCTAGGCTTTCACAGTTCACCCCAAGGCTCTCTCCGTCTCTCTCTTACTACACGTTTGTATTATGCTTGAAGCGGCACTTCTTTTATGACTCTCCGCACCCCTCCCCGTCCCGCTTAGCGAAACCGGCCCAAACGACCAGCAGACGCCAGCAGCACATACGGCAGTAGCTCAAACGATCTAGCCGGTTTGTTGCTCAGCCCCCGTTTCTCTCGCCGAGGCCGCTCATCTCGGTTGTGGTGCTCAAGTACGTAGACACACGAGTCCATACGTCCATATATGTACAAGTTGTGGCCGGGCACACGCTTTTCAACTCCGCTCTTTAACGCCGCACTCCGCATGTGCATGAAACTCCGCACCGAACGCCGCACGGACCTACTCACAGCTGTTACCCGATGAACGACGGGTAGAAGCCGGGCACGCTTCTGGCGGTGAGCCCCGCGAGTTCCTCTCACACAAAACACGTCCAACGATCCGCTCCTCTATCTACCACTTCTTCCACCCCTCTACCTCTTCCTGTTTTCGGGTATGTGTGTATGCATCTTCGTTGAGCCGCACGGCACACAGCTTGCTCGGGCTATTTTCACATGTGTATTCCGTGTCCGGGCCGCACTAGAATTACTATGTACCTTTTCGCGTATCGTTGGAATCGATCTACTGAGCGGGGCGGCGAAAGCCGCCAGAGTACGACCTCTCTCTTTCTTTCTGCATCAAGACGTTTCTTACTTCCTTTCACTAAATTGCTACCGCCACTTATCGCGTATCTTGGAATCGATCTACTGAGCGGGGCCGCGATAGCGGCCAGGCCCGCGTTTCCGCGAGTGGGTGAGAATTATGCAGAGGAGTGAAAAGACGCGGAGAGCGGAAAATAAATATGCAAAAGGAAACGGAGGTCTGTGAGAGGCCGAGAGAGCAGCTTAATTGATAAAAGAGTTATGCATACAACTGCGCGCCAAATAAGAGGTCCAGGTGTCGATTTTCACGAAACGTAAGAACCTGAATCCTAGCCATACGAAACCTACTTCTATTGCTTGCCTGTTGGTTTCGTCATGGATCTCATGGATCAAACACGGAGCGAGGGTTGGGGGAAGATCGCAATACGCGCGTTCAGTTCGATTTGTGTGTAAATACTCTTTTTGAGAGCACCATGAGTCATCACGCCAGCGCATCCGTCGCACTCAGTCAGGGCAACTGCCTCCTGTTTGTAGCACATCCGTCTCCGGCACGTTCAAGTCGACATCAGCGAAATGCCACCAAAATTCGGCGCTATTGCTGTCTGAATGATGGATACTGACACACTTGACACACACTGGCCGAGTTCATCGCAGCAACTGGTACAGAGTCCGTACGTGACTCGACACACTTGGTTTGCCAAAAGCTGACCGTCCTCTACTTAGAGCCCCAACGCCTCACTCACTTGGGCTCTATCCCGCCCTTCTCCTCGACATCGTCCACCTCCTCCTCCTCTCCTCTGCCACCCTGGGATGCCATCAAAACTGGCGCGTGGCGAGCGTCGAACGGTTGCTGCCTGCGTACATGTTCAACATGCGTCGCAGGCTGTGATGATGTTGGAATGCTAGCAGCGGGTCTTGATTGAAGTGATGCCGGAATGACGAAGCCCGAAACCCTGTAGATCGCTAGGAAGGCCGCAGCAACTTGGACCGTACGCATAGTTATAACGGAATCGAAAACAAGAGATGTCGTTGCATACTGCACTCGTACCTTGCGGCAGTGCTCGCGAGGCGGCAGTTTGCAATTCCGCCGCACAATCTACGAAAATACATCGGAGATCGAGTTCTGTACAAGGAACTCTTCCGAAAGGTGTGTCTGACTGACGAGACGAAGGGGGTAGGGGACACGTTGGGGGCACCGCCGTTGTAAGAAAAGCTTTGCGGTGGTGTCGGTCGTGTCATCGGCGTCTGTCCGCCAGCGCATCCTGTCCTTCTGGCTGTGCGATACACTCCGAGCGCACGGCGCGCACGGCGGGGAGCTGCCGCTGGCACGGAGATGGACGATAACGTATCGCCAGAGGCATTGCTTACAGGCCATAGGAAGCTGAGGACCCCGGTACAAGTGGTCCCGTTCCCAGGGAGAAAACCCGTGGCTCCATTGGAAGGTGCGAACGACATTGGAACGAACGCGCGAACGCGCCCGCTTTCGTTGTTGAGCGTTGGTGTTTCTTGTTGAGCGGCTGCTCACACATAGCGCTAGGTTGCAGCTGTCATCCCAAAGAGTAGGTCGGGATTGACTTTGTTCGTGTTCATTGTCCTCTTGCTCTGGATTTGGTGGTCGATCCTCGCAGATTCTCTCGGGAGAAAAATGCTCTGTTTCTATAATTGTAATTTAGGAAAATGTTGACTAGTCGGCGAGTATTAACCATGGATGGATTTGGCATGAGACACAATTGGCTGCTGTCAACACGTCGTGCATGAGCCCCTGCGACACGCGAAGCGCCGCTTTTCCCGTTGGGATCGATTGAAATATTCCTTGCGTACTACTCGCGCTTGTCTTGTCTTGTCGAAGGATGGCACGTCACGATTAGTGTGAACGGGAAGAATGAAGAATGCACTCCCAAGAAAAAAATAAGAATTAAAGTTGGTGGGCGGTCAAACAAATGCCACCCAACGGACCAGTAGACGGTATTAGGGACACGTGCCATGGTAGAAGATTAGTCTTGCACTCTGTCTTTTTCCTGTGTTGTCCATGCAAAGGCATGCACGCGCATTTGACGTTGTGGGTGGAAGATGCGGCGGCATTCATTTGTGGATTGAAGCAATAAAACGTTGCTCTGTCCTTGGCGCACGGACGGAACATTCTGTGACCGAGGCAAACCGATGCTGGCCCGCAACAGAGACCCCCCCCTCCGGCGGCAGGGTTGCCGTGCGTGGGTGTTGCTTTTCGCTTGTCTTGTGCATTTACCGACATCATCTGCTTGAGCAAAATGCCGGCCGACACAATGGCATGGATCAGGGAGGCATATTTGGCCGGTTTAACGGTTCGAACCTTGTCCCGCCGCACCATGGTCATCGTTGGTGTCTCGCGCGCTCCTGTGGTCTCGTTTTCCCCCGATGCGATGCGTTTCTTTGCCTGTGGTTACCCGATTGACTACAGCCGTGGAGGGCCCTCAATAACGCCTATTCAATTTACAGAATGATGCAGTCTGCCCACCAATTTCAACGGCTCTATACAGGGCCGCCGGCGCTAAGTAGTAATGCTGACCCCCCTCCACTGCTGTATCAACCTCTGCAGGCCATGCTGACGACGACTTGGAGGCTGACGGCGGAGGCGGTGCTTGGAGAAGAGACCAAGCGGTACCCGCGGGGGAAAGCCCACGCTGGGCGGGCGGCGCGGACGATGGGCCTATTGACAGCAGCGGACATCGTCGGGATATTGTGCGGAACACGTCGTACATGCCGCGCCACCATAAGTCGGAGGTACGCGCTACAATATGGGGGGGGGGGTGAGGGCGTGCAGTGGGTGCTACAGGGGTGGGGTAGAGTTTTCGTATGGTAGCTTGTTTAGAAAATATAAGTACAATCAAAGAAATAGTGCCCGTTCGATATATAGCTACAGTCGCAACATGGTATATTGAGCTTGTGAGGCGTACATGGCTACCTGCGGTTTATTACGTCGTGTTTTGTTTGTCTCTAGCATTAGGAAGTGCGTGTAAGGGCCACTAGAGCCAACCTCATACTGCGCTCAACGCGTGCGCGGAAGCCCTCACGAACCACTCATGCTGTGCCGGGAGCCATCGATTGCACAACGTCTTGATCGCTTTGGAATACGCTCGGAGGCAAGGTGTACAGGCCTCATCCGCTTCTCCCGTCCCTACACCGATCGTCGTTCGTCTCGATCCACCAGGTTAACCCGTTCATCAACCTGACGATGCACCTCCCATGGTACCAGTACCTGAAGATGGTGATCGTGGGCGTCACCATACTGCCGTTCCGCATCTTGTTCACCATCGTCAACGTGTTCTTCATGTGGTGCTTTGCCACTCTGGCTCTGGCGGGACTGTCAGGTACGTTTCTGATCGGACGCGGCCTTGCGACTTGGAAAGCAGGCGTACAGCAGTAGTAGCTTTGCCCGAAGCATTGATCGAAAAAGATCTCGTCGTGTCAACGACGTCCAGTGACTCAAGAAACGCTCCCTTAGGACACGGCTTTGTTCCATCGCTCTCCACTGACCCGTGGAAAGGAAAACGTCGCCTTTGCTATCGTGACGTCAGTGCTAGATGAACAGCAGTAGACTTCATGCTTGTCGCATCACGAGGGGAAGCGCCGATGATACCACCTCCGTGCTGACAGCCTTATTACCCCCCATCAACTACCTTTGATGTGTTACTGTCGTCCCGTTCCCTTTGGGCTCCACGCTATTTCCTGCCGTCGTTTTTTTTTCTCTGTTTCATTTCCGAATTTGATCATGTCCTTTCGTCTCCCGTTTGCCGACTCCTCCATGGCCACCGAAAACGGTGCCCCGTTCCTCCTGCTCCTCCCGTTCTCATTTCTCCTCCTGTTCCCCCTCCGTCGTTGTTTTGTGGGCACGAAATCGTTTTATACGATAAAAGAGGAGGGAAGAGAAAAGCCCTTCAGCAAGTGGCGTCGAGCGCTGAAGCACCCCATCTGCTGGTGCCTTCGATTTCAGTGTGCGCTCTTCGGCTTTTGGTGGATTTCGGTGAGAGGCGTTTTTCGGGAGTTCGAGCGTAATTGGGGTCGGTTGTCTTCAGCAAAAACTTCGACCTTTGGGAGATCTTGATGACCTTCGGACTGGTGAATGCGTGGGGACAGCTTGGTGCTTGCGTGCACGGTTAAAGCACACTCCGTTTTGCCGACCTTTCCTTTTTTTTTTGTTGATGGTACGGCGGGACTGCGGCAAGGATTGTTGGTCGCGTTTACGCAGCAGTAAACAAATGGCCGATCGTAGGGACGCGTATCAGCACTAACGCCAACGGCAACTGCATTGGAAACTGTTTAGCGAGCGAGTGATCGGAAAGCACGTAGAGACGGGACGTGGGGTTGGAGCAGGCAGAAGTTCAACGCGGACGACATGCAGCATCAACGACGAGGGAACCAATGACGATGAAAACACCTACACATGCACACCAAACAGGTCAAGGGGGAGTGCGCGGACAAGGAAGATGCCCCGATCATCGTGTCCAATCACGTCTCGCCGTTCGAGCCGTTCTACCTCGTCAGCAAGACGCAGGCCACTCCGGTGCAGCGGATAGAGGACTCGCGGGCGCCGATCGTGGGGACTATTCAGAAGGCCATGCAGGTAGCGGTCGCTGCGTCTGCTTCTGGGGATTGTGCTGCAGGGGCATAAAAAAATACTGGACATGTGTTCCTGAAACATCGACAACACATGCATGCGTTCCAAGTCTTGTTATTCAGGATGGATGGCCTCGACGCTTTTGTTGACATGTTTGGTTGTTCATCATTGCGTGCATCTTTTCTGTTTTGTTTGCTGCTGGGCGGTATGTAACGTGTCTCAAGTTCCCCCCCCCCTACTCTCACCTCGTTCCGTCCCCCTCTTCTTCTTCTTCTGCTGCTCCTGCTGCTGCGGTTTTGTTTGTTTCTCAGATTATGTTTGTCGATCGGGCAAATCCTGCGTCGAAGAAGAAGTGTCTCCAGGTGAGAAAAGCAGCAGCGTTGGCCCGCGAGCAAGGGCACAGGAGGGAAGGGGAAGGGGGGGTGGTGTTTGACGGCGAATTCCGTGGAGAATGTGCTTTTGAGGAGAGGAAAAGGGGGGATCCCGTGTTATCAGGAACACACGGCGCTTGTCAATCTAACCCTGAGCCCTTTTCGCCTCCTCCTTTGTGTGGACAAACGAGGAGCAAAGCGAACCCCAACCAAAACCCTAACCCTAACCCTAACGTAAGCCTGACCCTGCTCGCCTCCTTTGCGCAGACAATCGAGGAGCGAAGCGACCCGGCGTCGACCTTCCCTCGGGTGCTGGTCTTTCCGGAGGGGACCTGCACCAACCAGCGCGCTCTCATCACCTTCAAGCACGGGCCGTTCATCACGGGACAGAACATCCAGCCGGTTACGGTTCGATATCCGCGGACGGACGGGCATCTGGACCCGTCTTACCCTGCGGTATCGCCATCTCTGGTGGCGCTAGCTTTGAGGTGAGAAGTTGGGGTTTGGGTGTGGCTTTGAGGGGCTTGGGTGTGACTGAGAAGGCTTGCTCAGTGCTTGGATAGGGGGTGGACCGGGAGGGGTCGTGTGTTCAGCCATCTCGTTTTTGAGGTGGCGGTTTTGAGACGGGAGGTGGGGGCTAAGGTGGGTCAGTGCGCGTGTGGGCGCTACAGTAGAGTACCTGCCACTGCGGTGGCTGGCTGGTCTGTACGGGAGCCGATCCTGTCTTGCGTTCCATATTTCCTCCTCTCTCTCCCTCTCTTAATATTTGATCGTGTCTTGTCTCCGTGCTTGTCTCCCCGTTGCTTCTCTTTCAGCCATTCGTGATCGGTCGGTATTCTTTCCCCTAACCTCTGTCGACTACTTTTCTCCGGTCAATCATATCATGCCGCAGGGTTATGTGCCAGGTCTGGAACTGCATGGAGATCGAATATCTTCCTGTTTACGTGCCGACGGCCGAAGACAGGGACAATTCCACCCTCTTCGCTCAGCACGTTCAGGTGACAGCTGCGACGAAGGGTCTATACAAGCAGCTCTCTTGCCGAATGTTTTAGTATAGCGGCGGCAGGGGAAGATGCTCAGAATTTCGAGGTGACCATAAACGATGGTGATGGATCTCTAAATTGCTCTCTTGTCGAAGGTTGTATGCACAGTGTTGCGGTGGTAGGGAAAGACGCCCTTGGCTAAGAGTATCGAGAGGTGACACAAGGAAGGGTATTTGACTCTCTCACCGGTGGTGGTGATCGTGGTTTCTGTCGAGAAAACGGAGAGTAAGACATTCATTGGCTGACACGGGGGAGCCGCGGAATGCCTGAGACCCCGGTGGTTGTCGTGATTCCACGACGACCCTCTTGGCCCTCCTTGCACCGGGGTCGCTCTGGCTCTCGATATAGTCGGTCGTCGCTGCTTGCTCGACAGCACGATTCTGTCTTCCGCGCGCCTTGTACCATGGGCAGTATACTTCCCAGGGTTTTTCGTGTGATGTAAACATGTTGGATATAGCATACAATCGGGGAAGTTGGGTTAGGGTTATAGGGTTAGGGAATAGGGTCTGCGTCCCCCCTCCCTGTTCTATTTCCTCATAAACTCATAAATCGCGCGAAGGTGGCCCACCATGGGCAACACTGGGGTGTCGGTTGTTTGAGAGTTCGGAAGACGCTGGTAAGGGTGCTTGCTTCGTTGGGGGGGACTGGGACACTCTTGTCGTAAGAGACGATGCGATGGCTGTCGCGGGAGCGAAGTACAACACTGACGGTGATAAAGAGCCCATGGATTTCAATAAGGAGCATGGAGTTCGGCCATGAGCACCTCGTTATTTTAAACGTGATGATGCTGCCTTTGCTTCTAGAAATGTTGCGCGAGGCTCTTTTCCGAACTAAACGAAAAATGTCTCACACCAATCGCATCCCTCTTGCTTTTTCCTCTCGGCCGGTACCGAGCATGAAGGCACTCATGCATGCACTTGACTGGAACCCCAAAATCAGAAATCGCCACTCCTAAATGTACCGTTCGTTCTTGTTTTTGTCCCTCGATCACCCCTTTTTCTCGGCGGTGTCATACATACCAGGAATACATGTCGCGGAGCCTTGGTGTCCCCGCAACGCAACACGCCTTCGAAGACGTGGCGCTCCAGTTCCAGGCCATGAAGATGAACCTAAACCCAGAGGTGCGTTTGTGGTCAGACCCGTCGAGTTGCTTGGGGTGGGATTGGATGTTGGGGGAGTGAGGTCGGGCGGGGAGCCGGAGATGCTTTGGCCAGACCCGTGGAACTGCTTGGGATGGTTTGGGATGGGACGGGAGCGAAGATGAGCCTCAAGCCGTAGGAATATTGATGTTTTCGTTGTTGCGTTTTTTCCTCACAAAGCCTGTGTGTTTCCAGTCCTTGCCTTGCTCATGGATCACGGGAGGAGGGGTGGATGAGGATTAGATTTCCAAGAGGGTGACGGGCTGTGGCGCCAATGTATGAGCCTGGTGATTGTTGTCCGCCCGCATAGCAATACCGACCGTTGTTCCTGTGCCATCCTGTTTTGTGGTGTGATGCCGTGTTCATACCGTTTGTGATGGCATCTTGTTGCTCCCCCGTTCCCGCACCGTTCAGGATGCCGTGGTGGAGTGGAGCCGTGTCCGGCAGTCGTTGGTCGGGCTCGATGCCGGTACGGCGAAGGAGTACCTCATCTCGTTCTTCGAGATGGACGGGGATAAAGATGGAAGGCTTTCTCTAGAGGTACGTGACTCTAGGTTATACGCCGCTGTGAGAGGATGAACGATTGTAGCGGTACACGTACAACTACGCCGAGATTCGACCTCACGTCCCAAACGTTGTTTCGAGGTGTACCAGCGGAACCACGGGGGCTGCCAGCTGTTCATATGGGCGGGGGGGGTGTACTCGTGTACTCATAGTCGTGCATGCCGTAGTCGTTTGACCATTGACCTCGCATCGTTACAAAGCCGGGACGGAGCACGCCGGGTTACCGGACCAGGGTCTCACATCACCAAGCGCGAAGCGCCGTGAGGCATTCGTCGAGTCGCATGGAGGGCGCGCTGCAACCTGCTAAGGGTGTTCATAAGCGTTGGGTGAAACAAGCGTAAAACCCCTAGACCTAATCCCAGCCCTAACCGAAGTCCCTGACCCCATACATTCCCGAAGGAATTCTGCGCGCCTTGGAAGCGAAAGCGAGACGAGGAGGCGGAGAAACAGTCACGGGCCGCCATGTTTCTCGCCGAGCAGAGGGAGGAGCAAAAACAAGCCGAGCACGAGAAGCAGGAAGCGCTGGCGGTACGGGCGACCGTGGCGTACACGGCCCCGGGGGGAGGGAAAGGGGGAAGCGGCCGCCGCGAGGACGACCAGCTCGGGCCGCAGGGGGGCGGCGTTAGTGCCCTGGAGGAAGGCAGGGGAGAAGGGGGAGGACAGGAGCGGGTCCCTTCTTGGTCGCTGAACCGCCCCGAAGAAGGTATCCATGGGCAAGGGGGGTCGCATTCCGTTCCTCTTTGGCCTCCAGCGGCAGCAGCAGCACGTGGTCAAGGTACTTAAATTTGTACTTTGTTGGTTTGAGCGTGTTGCTGTTACCGTGGGTGCTGATGGTGACGGGTTTGAGACCTATCGATCACTTGTGCGTAACAGCTCGAGAGGGTTTGAGACCTATCGATCACTTGCGCGTAACAGCTCGAGAGGGTTTGAGGGGTTGATACATGTTGTGGCCACAAGCGAACCTCCGGTAGAGGTGCAGCTACAACTGATGACAAAGTTTCGGCCGGGGAAACTCTCCCTACTCCCGCGAAAAAGTAAGTAGGAACCCCCAACTGCAGCCCCGAAATCAGGAGCGCGCGGTAGGAAGGTAGGCAGGGGGTTAGTGCGATCTGTCGTCGGTCGGTAGCTGCAGCAGCAGCAGCAATCGCTTCGGCGTTGACACTCTCGCTAGCTTGCTCTCACGCCCACTCACGGGAGCGTCCACTACACTGTTCGCGTTATGGGCGATTGTGTTTTTTTTTTTTTCCGGAGTATTTTTTTGTGGAGTAGCTGGCGTTCCTCGCGCGCGGTGGTTGTGTTCGTCTTTGCTTTGTGAGCCGGCCATTGGAAAGGGGTAGGGGTCAGACTCGGCTCGGCTCCGGCAGCCAGCTGTAGCAGTGCCAAGGAAGTGCCCAGCACTTACAGTGCTACTGCTGCCACCGCTGCTGCTGATCCTAACTATAATTGCCGGCGCTACTCGTGCTATGACTGGTGCTGCTGGTAGTGCTGTCGTAGTTGTGTGGCGAGGGATCGCACCGCCGCCAGACAGACGCTCATAGCTCGATTGCTCCACTGAACGGAGAGGGCGCAAATGCTGAAAACGGTGGTTTTGGAATGATCTCGTCGAGAGCTCTCCTCGTACGTCTATCGGATGCTTTTCGAGAGCTCCCTCTTGGGTGTGGAGTAATCGAGCTATGGGCGTTGGCCTAGCGCGGGTTAGGTCACGCACGCAATTCTGATGCGTTTTGTTTGGCAATGGACGGAGATTTCCCCTTCACAGGGAATGCAGAACCACAAGCACTCCTGCTCGTCTCTACTGATTCTTGGACTTTTGTTTCTCCTCGCTGTTTCTGTGTTTGTTTTTCGGAGTTGTGTCAACATCGTCATGATGCCTCCTTCTCTGGAGCAGGTGGTTTTTACATGTGCGTTTTCATGCCTGCTTGTTTCGGCACAAACCACAATTGATACAACCCTACTATGCACTCCAACTTCTTTGTGATGCGTTTGTTTTGTCAGTAGGGTTCAATGAGACTTTCAACAATATGACAAAACAAACGGAGACGTGTCAAAATGCGGCCTCGATCATGACTTGTTGCTCTGTTGTTTCTCGTTGAAAAATAATTGACGAGTAGGTGCTGGAGAACAGCGGGGACGTGTGTCGTGTTCCATCACAGCCTGTCCCCCGTCTTTCCCACCGTTTTTTTTTCTCTTTTCCCTCTTTCGGCTATTTTCCCCCCTCCCAGGATGCCTCTCATGCCGGCCGCCTACTTCCTTACCTTTACAGTCCCCCTCTCCTGTCGGTACTCCTCGTGTGTCTGTGCGTGTGTGTTTGTGTGTGTGTTTTCTCGCTCCCCTATCGTGGCCACGCCGCCGCATCATCAGGCGACGCTCTTGCCGCCGACGAGGGGGGACCACCCGAAGGCGCAAGAAGCACGACCGGGAGCGGCGCCGAACCGTGCGCCGCGGAGGACGAGGAGGAGTTGGAGGAAGAGATGGCGTTAGCCGCGGCGGCAGCGGCGGCGGCGGCGGGGCTGCCCGGGCTCCTCCGGGAGGAGGAGATGGAGAGGGCCTACGAAATCTTCTGCGGAGGGGAGGAGCTGACGTTCCAAAAGATTCTTGACCGGCATCGGGGTGCTCGGGTGAGGAGGCGGGGGGGGGGGGGTTGGTGAAGTTTCGGTTGCTGGGAGGGTTTGTGTGTGTGTGTATGAAAAGGCGGTGGCGGAGAGAGGAAGGGGCGTGGCTTTCGTGATCGTTCAGGGCGACCCGTATGTTTGGAACTCTTGTATGATCGGGTTGTGGCATGGCCGAAGGACTATTTTAGTGATGGTTGGTGCTAAAGGGGGGGGGGGGGTATCGCGGGCGTGCGTTGCTTGTGTTATGCAGCGCGGTCCGTCACCCTATGCTATTGCTACGTGTGACCCAACTTTTTGGGCTACTGGAGAAGGGTGTGGACATCGTTTGACCCGCTGTGTGACCTTCGCTGCAGGCCTGTTCCTGCTTGCTTGTAGATTCGTGCCGAAGTGTGTGTGTGTTCTCGATTTCTCCGCCGATGTGGTGCTTTTATACACGGGTGTAGTGTTCTGCTTCTGCAGAGAGCGCCGAGGCTCGCCATTGTGAAGTTTCTTTCGCACGCTAGAGGATATGCTGGTGAATAACTTACTTTTTCCCATGTGCCGCTGAAATCTCTCCGCCCCCCCCCCCCCCCCCTCCCCCGCTTTTCCATGTATCAGCCTATAATGGCTCTCGAGGACGCGTGGTCAATGGTCTTAGCAACAAGGCATGCAAAAATGAGTATGCCAACCCCCCTCTCACAACGGACGCCTACCTCAACCGTATGCAAACCTATGATGCCGACAGGGGGTTGACGCGCGAAGGGAGGGTGGGACTGTTCAAGTTCATTTATTCGATGTTGGAGGGGAGGCGACCGAGACCTCTTCCGCGGCAAGAGCTGGAGACTTTCATCCGGCGGCTTCGACCAGACCTTACAGAGGTAGGCTCGTTTTTGTCTCGGCAAAACTTGCAGCGAGTAGCCCCTTGTTTTTGCCGTTTCGTCTCTCTTTGCCTGCCCACGACCGGTGACGTCTGTCTGTCTGGGGTTACTCAACAACGCAAGGGCTTAGCGCGATAGTCGCTTCGGCGAAGAAACCCCGGTAGCGGCACCCTACGATTTTTTTGTGGAGGATTTGGTTGAGTGACGGCCGCAAAAACACGCCCCCCTACAACCCATCCGACAATGCACCTTCTTCGGCGGAAACCACCCCCTGGTGTTTGGTGCTCTATGACGAGTGAAACCTTGCTGTGTGCGATTCGCCCGAGCGAGCGGTTTGTTGCGCCACTACGACTGTCGTTGGAGGCGTGTTGTGCACTGAAAGTTAGGCGACTGGGAGAAGCACCAGTCCTTCGGTCGTACCGCACAAGAGGGGGTACGCGTCTCCCCACCCTTACCCTTTTCTCTCAGACCGTCTCGACCATCAATGACGCTGTTGGTAAACACCACCGTAAGCTGTCAGCAAACAATGAGCCGTTAGCAAATATCCATGTCGATGCACAAAGAGAAGATGTTGGACATGTCCGTAGAAGCAACGGTGGACCACCTCCGTCCGCCTGTCTCTCCATATTCTGCAACGAATGCTCACGTTTTCGTGTCGTTGTCTTCGTCGTTGTACTCGTTACTTTTACCTCTATGGTGCTGGAAACGGTGTTCGACGACGGCAGAAAGCGGCGAGGAGGCTCTTCGACAAGACGGCGGAGCTGAGGGGAGGCGGGGACGTTACGCGAGAAGGCTTCTTGGCCTTCGCCGAGCAGAACGGGTCCATCCTCAGCGTGTACCAGGTGTTTGTTGGTGTCCGTGTTTGTTGGTGGCATGGACTACGCTAACCGACTGACCAATGAAAAGCCGTCAGTCTCAAGCGTGTGTGAGTGTTGGTTGTTGGCATGGGCCGCGCTAACCGACTGATTAATGAAAAGCCGTCAGTCTCAATCGTGTGTGAGTGTTGATTATTGGCATGGGCCGCGCTAACCGGCTGGCCAATGAAAAGCCGCCAGTCTCAAGCTTGTGCGAGTGTTGGTTATTGGCTGGCCAATGAATCCGCGTCAGTCTCAGCGTGTGTTTGGTGTTGCCACGCTAACCGGCTGGCCAACTAAACCGCGTCAGTCTCAGTGCGGCTGAAAACGGAAAATGCGTCTGAAGGCCATGGTCAGTGTGAGCGGATGCTCCATTACTGTTGTCGTGGCGATTGCTATCGTTGCCGGTTTCGCCTTCATGCACGCCTCGTCCGCTGCTCGAACCATGATGCGTTGTTCGTGCCCAGTGATGGGCTTGGTACCCGTAGGTGTGATGTTCGGGTGGGAACTGAGGGCCGACATGCGGGTTGGCCGTGGGAATGAATGTTTAGGGCGGGGGGAGGACACCTTGCTTTGTTTTCGCTTCTTTCTGTGTTTTGTTAGATCGATCGACGTTGGATTTCATGTCGGTACCAATAGTATCCGGTTTGGCCGTTTTTGGGCTTTGTACACAGGGGGCACCAAACGCAGAATCAAGTCAGTTTCTTCGTCCGCGACGTGATTGCTCCACGGCAACGTCGGTGACGCATGCACCTGGGTAGTCGCAAGTCGCGTTCAATCTTTCGTCGTTGGTCCAAGCCCCCCTCCCGCGCCCTTACCCTAGCGTGGTGTCCACCAAGAATTGCGATTATGATAACAATCAATCACGCCGTACACCCAAGTCCGAGGCTTTTTGCCGTCGGGTTTTTCATCTCCAAACAGTTTTTCCGACCCCTTTTTTTTTTTCAAGGCAATGGGTTTGGACACGATGTTTGTTTGGTCTTGACGCCCCCCCCCCCCCCCCCC